TATTAGAAAGGCTGCTAAACCATTTACACCTGGCCCACAGCCTTGTTGGGTACTTATAGTACAGTGCACTTTCACTCCATTCTCAGCCTGACTCTCTACCAATGCCACCAGATTATTCTTTCTATTGTTGTTATCTATTCGGTAACATTCCACAAGTAAATGTAATAAATAAAACACATACATTAAATAGCTCAGGTCTGGAAAATATGTTAAAATATTTACAATTTTGTATTTATGTGTGCTTGGTAGCCGAGGCTTTATGGCTTCGTCATCAACTTGTTAATTTAGCAGACATCACTTGCATATATTCAGTCAACACATATATTTTAAGAATACAGTGTAACAACAGTTTTAGTAAGTAACAGGCTACGGTCCAGTTACAGCTTCTTCTGACAAAGTAGAAACAAAAAAAAATGCATTTTTTTGAGTGTGTGCGCGGGACAGAGGAGTAGCAATTCTTACACTATTGTTCTAAATTCAATCACCCTCTTCTTCTTCATCCTCCTCATTCCGTTCATTCAAATTCAATTGTAATACATTTTGTCACTCCCGTTCAACAACAACATTGCTTTTGCATGTGCTCCAAAGCAATAACTTGAAATAACATTATATATGCTAATTAAATAATCGAAAGGAAAATTTTTATTATTTATTAGCCTATTGGATAGAAGAATTTTAGGCATATCATGTGAATTAGGCCTCATGTAAAATCATTGTCAAAGTGCAAGAGAGACTGTTCTAGCAAAATGTATAGCGCATAGAATTAAAAAAGTATTGTTGGACATTATTCATTCTAATCAGACAGGTTTTTTACATGGACGATACATTGGAGATAATATAAGGCCAGTACTGGAAACAATAGAACACTATGAAAAATCTGGGAAACCAGGCCTGCTATTCATAGCAGACTTTGAAAAGGCATTTGATAAAGTATGACTGGGGTTTATATATAAATGCCTGGAGCATTTCAATTTTGGAGAATATCTTTTCAAATGGGTTAAAATCATGTATAGTAACCCTAGGTGTAAAATAGTAAATAATGGCTATTTCTCTGAAAGTTTTAAACTGTCAAGAGGAGTGAAACAAGGCTGTCCACTATTGGCATATCTATTTATTATGGCCATCGAAATGTTAGCTATTAAAATCAGATCCAACAATAATATCAAGGGATTAGAAATCCAGGGCTTAAAAACAAAGGTGTCATTGTACGCTGATGATTCATGTTTTCTTTTAAATCCACAACTTGAATCCCTCCACAGCCTCATAGAGGGCTCCTGAGTGGCGCAGTGGTCTAAGGCACTGCATCTCAGTGCTTGAGGTGTCACTACAGACGCCCTGGTTCGATTCCAGGCTGTATCACAACCGGCTGTGATTGGGAGTCCCATAGGGGCCCAGCGTTGTCTGGGTTTGGCCAGTGTAGGCCGTCATTGTAAATAAGAATTTTTTCTTAACTGACTTGCCTAGTAAAATAAATAGAGGATCTAGATACATTTTCTAACCTCTCTGGATTACAACCAAATTATGATATATGTACTATATTACGTATTGGATCACAAAAAAATAAAAAATTTACATTACCATGTAGTTTACCAATAGAATGGTCTGATGGTGATGTGGATATACTCGGAATACATATCCCAAATGAAATAAATGATCTCACTCCAATACATTTTAATAGAAAGTTAGCAAAAATAGATCATATCTTGCTACCATGGAAAGGTAAATACCTGTCAATTTGTGGAAAACTCACCCTGATTAACTCTTTAGTATTATCCAAGTTTACCTATTTGCTTATGGTCTTGCCTACGCCTAGTGAACAGTTTTTCAATTATATGAGAAAAAATATTCAATTTTATTTGGAATGGTAAGCCAGACAAAATTAAACAGGCCTATTTATATAATGAATATGAATTCGGAGGACAGAAATTATTAAATATTAAAGCATTAGACCTATCACTAAAAGTTTCAGTCATACAAAAGTTATACTTAAATCCGAACTAGTTCTCTAGCAAATTAGTAAGATTGTCTCACCCAATGTTCAAGAATGGCCTTTTTCCCTTTATTCAGATTACAACCTCTCACTTTCAGTTATTTGAAAAGGAAATCATCTCCCAAATATCACTATTTCTAAAACAAGCCATAGAAACTTGTTTGCAATTCCAGAAACGTGTCTGTCGGCCCTGCATTAAAGAACATAATTGGCTAAAGAAAATTGTGATAAATAAAAAAGTATACCAGTTTAATTTAAAGACCAAAGGATCGACAGCCGTCCCATATAGATTGCAAAATAGTTGGGAAGAGATTTTTGACGTACCGATTCCATGGCATAGTGTTTATGAACTGATACGCAAAACGACGCCGGATTCAAAACTTAGAATTTTTCAATTTAAATTATTATACAAAATTATTGCTACCAATAGAATGTTATTTATATGGAGGATACAATCTTCCCAGCTCTGCAGATTTTGCTGTGAAGAGACAGAATCATTAGATCATTTGTTTTGGTACTGTCCATTTGTAGCTTGTTTTTGGACACAGGTCCAGGAATGGCTGAAGGATTGCAATATTTACCTGGAGCTAACCCTGCAGATAGCACTACTGGGTGATCTGAAAAGTCATAGTCAATCGATCAATAATATAATAATACTATTAGCAAAAATGTTTATTTTCAATTTACAATCTTCAGAATTTTTGTGAAACATCACAGTACAGTTGAAAGATATATGGCAAATAGAAATCCAATATGGATGGTGTTAAGAGATAGATGGGAGGTGTTGAATGGAGTTGAAGGATGGGACTAATAACAACTAACAACAACTAATAACAACAAGATAACTAATGTAAAGCATACTATGTCCATAATAAGTATATAGGTTATAGGTTCAGAGCTTTTGTGAAAGAGCACAGTTAGAAAGATATGGCATATAGAAGCAAACCGGATGGACGTCATGAAAATGATCGGAGAGGTTGAGGGTAGAGGAAGTTCAGGAGTAAAAACAAACTAAATTGAATTATTGTAAAATTGACTGTGTCCAGAAAATGTATATAGTATGTATAATTGGAAGTAGAGGCCTAAGCATTGTTGTTCACTAGTTTACTCCAATTAGGGAAGGGGTGGTAGGGTTGGAAAGTAATAAAGGGAAAATATATTTTTTAAAGGATATGTATATATATGTATGTGTATACAGTGAGGGGAAAAAAGTATTTGATCCCCTGCTGATTTTGTACGTTTGCCCACTGACAAAGAAATAATCAGTCTATAATTTTAATGGTAGGTTTATTTGAACAGTGAGAGACAGAATAACAACAAATAAATCCAGAAAAAACGCATGTAAACATTTTTATTAATTGATTTGCATTTTAATGAGGGAAAAAAGTATTTGACCCCCTCTCAATCAGAAAGATTTCTGGCTCCCAGGTGTCTTTTATACAGGTAACGAGCTGAGATTAGGAGCACACTCTTAAAGGGAGTGCTCCTAATCTCAGTTTGTTACCTTTATAAAAGACACCTGTCCACAGAAGCAATCAATCAATCAGATTCCAAACTCTCCACCATGGCCAAGACCAAAGAGCTCTCCAAGGATGTCAGGGAAAAGATTGTAGACCTACACAAGGCTGGAATGGGCTAAAAGACCATCACCAAGCAGCTTGGTGAGAAGGTGAGAACAGTTGGTGTGATTATTCGCAAATGGAAGAAACACAAAAGAACTGTCAATCTCCCTCGGCCTGGGGCTCCATGCAAGATCTCACCTCGTGGAGTTGCAATGATCATGAGAACGGTGAGGAATCAGCCCAGATCTACACGGGAGGATCTTGTCAATGATCTCAAGGCAGCTGGGACCATAGTCACCAAGAAAACAATTGGTAACACACTACGCCGTGAAGGACTGAAATCCTGCAGCGCCCGCAAGGTCCCCCTGCTCAAGAAAGCACATATACAGGCCCGTCTGAAGTTTGCCAATGAACATCTGAATGATTCAGAGGAGAACTGGGTGAAAGTGTTGTGGTCAGATGAGACCAAAATCGAGCTCTTTGCCTTCAACTCAACTCGCCGTGTTTGGAGGAGGAGGAGTGCTGCCTATGACCCCAAGAACACCATCCCCACCATCAAACGTGGAGGTGGAAACATTATGCTTTGGGGGTGTTTTTCTGCTAAGGGGACAGGACAACTTCACCACATCAATGGGACGATGGATGGGGCCATGTACCGTCAAATCTTGGGTGAGAACCTCCTTCCCTCAACCAGGGCATTGAAAATGGGTCGTGGATGGGTATTCCGGCATGACAACCCAAAACACACGGCCAAGGCAACAAAGAAGTGGCTCAAGAAGAAGCACATTAAGGTCCTGGAGTGGCCTAGCCAGTCTCCAGACCTTAATCCCATAGAAAATCTGTGGAGGGAGCTGAAGGTTCGAGTTGCCAAACGTCAGCCTCGAAACCTTAATGACTTGGAGAAGATCTGCAAAGAGGAGTGGGACAAAATCCCTCCTGAGATGTGTGCAAACCTGGTGGCCAACTACAAGAAACGTCTGACCTCTGTGATTGCCAACAAGGGTTTTGCCACCAAGTACTAAGTCATGTTTTGCAGAGGGGTCAAATACTTATTTCCCTCATTAAAATGCAAATCAATTTATAACATTTTTGACATGCGTTTTTCTGGATTTTGTTGTTGTTATTCTGTCTCTCACTGTTCAAATAAACCTACCATTAAATTATAGACTGATAATGTCTTTGTCAGTGGGCAAACATACAAAATCAGCAGGGGATCAAATACTTTTTTCCCTCACTGTAAATTAATTTGAATCAATCTCTTTTTTTGGTGCTCCTGAATACTGTTTGGTCAGGTGCTTCTAACTTTTACAAGTTGGGTGCACCAGTGCTACCGATGAAAAAGTTAACATGGTTAGAGAGCCCTAACTGTTTTCCGAAACCTCTGACGAACTCTTTCGTGTATCTCACTCTCCCTGGTTTCTCATTGGTTTCTCTTCCTGGTCTCAGGCGCTGATTGTGGACCAGCTGAGCATGAGGATGCTGTCCTCTTGCTGCAAGATGACAGACATCATGTCAGATGGCATCACCAGTAAGCACTTTGCTCTGTTTTTGAATCTCATCAGCCTCCATTGTTATACTGCACTGCAGCAAATATACTGTATATAATGACCAGATTGTCTCCACCTTAATGGGAGTTGTTGTTCCAAAGGCGGGAAGGCAGGCAGTCTGCTTATCGGTCTGCTAATCGGTCTACTTATTGTGGACAGATTGTGATGAGAGTGAACCCTCTCGCTTCGCCTCTTCATCTCTGACTGTAGCTACCATTTGGCAAGCATGACTCAGCCATCAGAAAACATGATATAACCACATCTCTCCCTCTGTCTCCCTTCTGTTTCTGTTTCTGTTTCTGTTTCTGCTCTCTCTTTTTCTCCCCCTCTTTTTCTCCCCCTCTTTCTCTCTCTCTCTAGTTGTGGAGGACATAAACAAGCGGCGAGAGCCTCTTCCCACCCTGGAGGCCATTTACCTGATTACCCCCACTGACAAGGTACACACACACACACACACACACACACACACACACACACGCACACACACACACCTCACTATCATGTGTCCTTCTCTTTCTAGTCTGTGCAGACCCTGATTGGAGACTTCAAAGACCCCCATTCAGCCAAATACAAAGCAGCCCACGTCTTCTTCACTGACTGTGAGTAGATACCTGAGAAGCCTCTCCACTACACCTTGAGTGCTCTGCAGATTCACTACACAGCTCATTGAATGCAACCACAGCCAATAATTCTTAGTGGAGAGGGATGTGATGTTGGTAAAATGATTTCATGGAAGGAATCATGTGTAACCAAAGAAAACACTTTTTTTCACCGTTCAGTTTATTACAAAACTAGAGTTGATCTAGACATCCAAAATAGAAAATCGCTCCGAATTTCACCAACATCATCCTATGAAACAAGAGTTTTCAATATACAGGCCCATATTTTAATACAATGTAGTAAATGCCATTTGGCAGATGCGCTTATCCAAAGCCTCTTACAGTAATGTGTGCATACATTTACATATGGGTGGCCCCAGTGGGAATCGAACCCCCAATCCTGATGTTGCAAGTGCCATGCTCTACCAAATGAGCCACACAGAAGCAGCACAGACACTCATATCAACCTCTCCCTGTTTCAGCCTGCCCCGACCCACTGTTCAACGAGTTAGTGAAGAGCCGTGCCTCCAAATCCATCAAGACCCTGACCGAGATCAACATCGCCTTCCTGCCCTATGAATCACAGGTACCAAACAGAGGGAGGGAGAGAAACAGAGGGAGGGAGACAGAGAGATATTGAGATGGAGGGAGATTGATCAATCCAGAAAGAGCCAGGCACAGAAAATCAAATCAGATTTTATTTGTCACATGCTTCGTAAAGAACAGGTGTAGACTAATAGTGAAATGTTTACTTATGGGCCCTTCCCAACAATGCAGAATTTAAATAGTATAAAAAATACAACCACAAGATACAGAGATAGAGTGATCCTAGAATAGCCAGAGAGATCGATTGAGATGGAGAAAGGTAGGAGGGAGAGAGAGATTGTGAAATGCTGAAGGTGAGGAGAGAGGGTCGGAAAGAGGTGGAGACAGACAGAAATAGGTATGGAGGGATATCAGCGAAGTTACATATTGGGACATTATTTTTTATGATATGTCGTATCGTTTTGACAATATCACAATATTACTTTAGTGCTACTTGACTGTACCTGCACCAAAATGCCAGTATCTTTCTTTCATTGGTTGTTCTATATCTTCTTTTTAAATAGGGAGCCAATTTGTTTTCAGCACTTTTATTTCCATGACTGATCAAAAACTCTTCACATGGCTCTCTCTTGTCCTTCTGCAGCAGACATATGGTGAACAATATGTTTGTAACGTCAAATTGCAATGAAATCACAGTATCACAAATCTCACAAATTCTCACATCGTGAGAATGCCAATACATATAGTATCGGCACCTAAGTATCGTGATAATATCGTATCGTGAGCTCCCTGGCAATTCCCAGCCCTAATAGATAGATGGATAGAGAGCAAGGAAAGGACACATGGATACAAAGAAAAGGGAGAGAGGCAGAATGAAAACAAAAAAGAGAGGGAGAGAGAAGATAGAAAGACAAATCCAGCCAGCTAGGTACCTATATCCCCAGGGCCATGGCAGCTTTGCCACCACAGTAGGCTGACGGAGGCTGCACCCTAAATGGCACACTATTCCCTTTATAGTGCACTACTTTTGACCAGGGCCCACTATATCGGGAATAGGGTGCCATTTGGGACGCAGACTGACTGTGTGAGTCACCAGTGACCTGAGGACTGTTTACTGATAGACTGCTCCAGAACTACTCATAGCTCTCTGGCTGACTGACGATGCTGCCTGTCCGGCCCACAATGCTTTGCTCATCCTGTCTCGGATGATTATTTCAGAGCCATAGGTTTTTGCTCCTGGCGAAATGCTGCCTCACAAGCCCACCTACAGACCCCACCTCATTGGCTCCCTCTGCCTCCACACACCATATGGCAGCCAATAGGAGCGGGGTGATGAGAGGGACCCATATGCACAGCAGAAGGGTGGTCATGTGACCTTGGGCAGTTGGGGCCGCGGGGGGGGGGGGGGGGGGGGGGGGGGGGGATGGTAGAGTAATGGCAAAGGAGAGAAGAGAGGAAGGACAGAAGAGAGGAGTTACAGTGAGAGAGGAGATACAGTGAGAGAGGAGATACAGTGAGAGAGACAGACAGTGAATGTGATGAAGGGTGGGGGGATGAGAGGAGAAGAGAGGACTGCAGCAGAGACAAAGGCAGGAAGGAAAGGCCACAGTCAAGGCACTGTCACTGAATATCAGCTCATACACACATACATGCTAGGAGGCCTGAGTTTGCCCTCAGAAAGACCCAGAGCAGGCCAGTAGTACAAAACAGGAAACCTAGATAGAAAATACTCTGTTGTTGCTATCAAATGATTACACCATCACCATCCTTAGAACATAATATACTGTGAAACTGTGGATCTACATGGTATAGAACTAAGCCTTGTAGAAAAATTATAACACCCACACACACATACATTTTACCTCTGCACATTTATTGTGGTCGACATTTCGGTATGATACACCTTTCAAGACAAAGTTAGATGTATTTATTTTTCTACAATGTTGATTTTTAGGGCAGTAACTCCCAGTACCACAACTGTGAGAAGCTTGGTAGTGTGCATAATAAATAGCTTCTATAAAACTGAGCTAATCAACAATGCAGTTGGCTAGAGAATGATGCTCTTTTCCCTGTCAATGTCTGCTCTGCTTACATAAAGCACTATACAAATAACATTTGATTGATCCAATTTGATTGTGTGTGTGTGTGCAGGTGTACTCTTTGGACAACCCGGATGCCTTCCAGAGTTTCTACAGCCCCCATAAGACCCAGCTGAAGAACCCAGTGATGGAGAGGCTGGCAGACCAGCTGGCCACCCTGTGTGCCACTCTGAAGGAGTACCCCGCTGTCAGATATCGAGGGTGAGCCACAGGGGGTCGCCACTGAGACAATAGGGACAGTAGGGACACAAATGTCACCCTATTCCTATATAGTGTGGCACTGGTCAAAAGTAGTACACTATGTAGATGATAGGGTGCCATTTGGGAGGTAACCTCTCATTGACAGGAGGGAGGTGGGGCTAATATTCTCAGTAAATGGGATAGAAACATAATGTTAGATCCCATCCTTATGAATTCTTGGGCAGACTCAGTAACTATATTCTCTCACTCTACTGTTAAACTCATCTGTCTCTGTCTATCTGTCCTCTTTCTCTGTATGTCTGTCTGTCTGTCTGTCTGTCTGTCTGTCTGTCTGTCTGTCTGTCTGTCTGTCTGTCTGTCTGTCTGTCACTCTCTATCAGGGAGTACAAAGACAATGCCACCCTGGCCCAGCTGTTGCAGGACAAACTGGATGCCTACAAGGCTGATGACCCCACCATGGGAGAGGTGAGGGAGGGATGGAACGAGGGAAAGAGGGGAGAGTGCTCATTAGATAACAAAGTGAGAGGCAGAAGGAAATGTTTTAGCAGTGAAAATATGAAAACATAGAAGAAGATACTAAACTGAAATGTACTGTTATCGTGTGCTACTTAAACAAGCACCATGCTACAAAAGATCACACCTTGCACTCACCGTGGCACTTTGTAAGTGTCTTTCAATTACTACTTACTATTATTATTATTTATACTACATACATCTTTCATATAGGAGCTATCAGGACACAGAGTGAATCTGCACCTATCTCCTCTACCCCTCCTCTCCTCCGTCTCTCCATCCCTCCATCTCTCCATCCTACTCTCTCTGCAGGGTCCTGATAAGGCTCGTTCTCAGCTGATCATCCTGGACAGGGCTTTTGACCCCGTCTCCCCCGTCCTGCATGAGCTCACCTTCCAGGCCATGGGCTACGACCTGCTGCCCATAGAAAACGACGTCTACAGGTACGTGTGTGTGTTTGTGTAACTACTGTAAATAGAAGAACATAATCAGTTCAGGGAGGGCTGCTGTAGCGCGCACAAAACGTTCACTACGAGGTAATCATCTGTGGTATTTTAGATCACTAGAGACTTTGATCAGAGGACCTTTCACATCCACACACATTCAGGACTCAATCATCTGTGCCAGGTTTGAAGAATAGCTTTGGAATCTAACCTGCATTCTTGGTTTTGTGTTGAAATACTTGGCTGTGCTGTAAATCCTATGTGCTGGAGTTTCTGTAGTGTAGAAAAGTAACACATAATGTTGTTGCAGATGTAATGTGAAGTTGATTACAGTAAATATACATGGAGTGCTTTTGCCTGTTTTTATGTATGGACCCAATTGATCTTTATCTCTCCCCCTGTCTATCTGTCTGACTGTCCATTCATGTCTGTCTGTCTGTCTGTCTGTCTGTCTGTCTGTCTGTCTGTCTGTCTGTCTGTCTGTCTGTCTGTCTGTCTGTCTGTCTGTCTGTCTGTCTGTCTGTCTGTCTGTCTGTGCATCAGATATGATTCCCCTGGGATGGGAGACACTTCTCAGAAGGAGGTCCTGCTGCATGAGGATGATGACCTGTGGGTGGGGCTCAGACACAAACATATCGCTGAGGTGTCCACGTAAGTCACACACCTGTTTATCTCTCTCTCTCTCTCTCTCTCTCTCTCTCTCTCTCTGTGTCTCTGTCTCTGTCTCTGTCTCTCTCGTCCATGTCACTGCCACTGGTTGATACGGACTCAATAAAGTCATAACAAAGTTGAGCTCTACTACTTACTAGTTCTCTTATGCTATCTATCTTCTCTAACTGCCATCAGGGAGGTGACACGCCAACTGAAGGACTTTTCTGCTAGCAAGAGGATGAACACTGCTGGAGAGAAGGTATGGAGGGAGAGATGCTTTCAGAAAGCCTCGCTGTCTGGTAATGCTCTTTGTCAGTACGTTTCTATGGCTGAGTGGAGAGAGAACGTGACCATGTTGTGCGTTCCAACAGACCACCATGAGGGACCTCTCTCAGATGCTGAAGAAGATGCCCCAGTACCAGAAGGAGCTGAGCAAGGTTAGAGTGTGTGTGCGTGTGTGTGTGTGTGTATGTGTGTGCATGTGACGTGTGTGTGTGTGTGTATACTGACCCTGTCTCTCTGTGTGTCTCAGTACTCCACTCACCTGCAGCTGGCTGAGGACTGCATGAAGCACTACCAGGGCACAGTGGACAAGTTGTGTCGTGTGGAGCAGGTAAAGGAGAGGAGCAAAGGAGGAGGGAGGGAGGGAGGGGAGAGGATGAGAGAAGCAACTCATTCTAGGGCACTATAACCAACTCAGTGGTTAGTGTCCGCCCTGATGTTGGGAGTTCGATCCCCAACCAAGTCATACCAAAGACTGTAAAAAATAGGATCCGATGCGTCCTCTGCTTGGCACTCAGCATTAAGGAGATAGATTGGGGGTAAGGCCCTGCAATAGACTAGTGTCCTGTACAGGGAGTGTACTTGCACATCAAGTTGCCTCACGCTACAGAAACAGGAGATAGGTTCCTGCTCCTATAAGACATTCTGACTCTACTTACTTACTTACTTACTTATATAGGGCACTATATAGGGAATAGGGTGCTATTTAAGATGTATCACTAATCTCTTGTCTGTCTCTGGCATGTAGGACCTGGCCATGGGTACAGATGCTGAGGGGGAGAAGATCAAGGACCCCATGAGGGCCATCGTGCCCATCCTGCTGGATGCCAATGTCACCACCCACGACAAGATCCGCATCATCCTCCTCTACATCTTCCTCAAGAACGGTGAGATTGAGAGATGCTTGACCTTTAACCTTTCACCCTAACCCTAGCTTCATCCTAGTTCAAACCTAGCCTCAACCACAACCCTAACTCTAACCCTAGGTTAATGTCCATATCCTGCTTAAACCTTAACCCTAGCCTAAACCAAAACCCTAACTCTAACCCTAGCTTAATGTCTACATCCTGCTTCAACCTTAACCCTAGCCTCAACCACAACATTAACCCTAACAGCTGATCTAGGATCAGCTTTTCCTGTTTATTCCTGAAGGTTAATTTAAACCCTATGTACAAACGCAATGCAAGCTGCGCAAATTGGCAGTAGTTGCGTATCAATATGCAAATGTGTGCAGCGACGCAATTTGTAATTCATTCAACTATGCAGGATCGCCATTTTGCGTAGCATACAAAGGGTATAAATGATGGTTTAATGGTAAGAGCTTAACAACCTGTGGTGTATTGTTGGGTAGGAATCACGGAGGAGAACCTGAACAAGCTCATCCAGCACGCTCAGATCCCTCCTGAGGACAGTGAGATCATCACCAACATGGCCCACCTGGGCGTGCCCATCATCACAGATGTGAGTCAGCACTTCCACCTTCTGTCTGTCCGGCCTCCTCTTCTGTCCCTCCTGGAGCTGCAGTCAAGGGCACAGATGCACCGGCACCTTTTCAACACCTACTACACACCATATCTCTCTCCTGCCCATACTCTGTCTCTCTCTCTCTCTCTCTCTTTCTCTCTCTCTCTCTCTCTCTCTCTCTCTCTCTCTCTCTCTCTCTCTCTCTCTCTCTCTCTCTGTCACGCGCTCTCTTCTACATTCCTACTATATTATTCCTTTCATTTGGGTTTTAATTAAACACTTAAACAATCTGATGAATAACGTCTCTCTATCCCTATGTTCTTTTTCACCTCATGTTCCTCCTCCCTCTTCTAGTCCACCCTCCGCAGGGGGAAGAAGCTGGACAGGAAGGAACGTGTGAGTGCGCAGACCTATCAGCTGTCCCGCTGGACACCACTGGTCAAAGACATCATGGAGGTCAGTTACTGGACATTCACATAGTCTCTGTGTGTGTGTGTGTGTGTGTGTGTGTGTGTGTGTGTGTGTTTCAGGCCATCCCAGTTTGTCTTTAGTGTTCTGCCTCTCTCCTTGTCATCCCTGTAGGATGTTATTGAAGATAAGCTGGACACCAAGCACTACCCCTACATCTCTACCCGCTCCTCTGCCTCCTTCAGCAGCACTGCAGTCAGGTACACACACACACACACACACACACACACACACACACACACACTGGAATGTATTGCAGTATAGTCACTGGAATGTATTGCAGTATAGTCACTGGAATGTATTGCAGTATAGTCACTGGAATGTATTGCAGTATAGTAGCGCTATAGAGATTACAAAGCATGGAGGGTCATAGATCAATAGTAATTTGAGCTCTGAGGGGGAAGGGAGATCAATACTCTGATTGGCTGTAGAAGAGAAAAGGGTGGGACTAAGAGCAGTGAAACCAAACAAATATTCTGTTACGGAGAAGGGGGCATTTAAAGAAACATACAGTACTGCAACAGAGGGCTCTGTTCAAACGTAGTGCACAAAATAAGGAATAGGGTGCCATTTGGGACACACTCCTACCATAGGGAGAGAGGAATGGTGGTGGTGCTGACACATTGACCCCTACATATCAATCAATCAATCAATCAATTAATCACATTTTATTTATAAAGCCTTTTTTACATCAGCAGATGTCACAAAGTGCTATACATATCCCTCTCCCCTCTAGACCTTCATTGTGTGCGCATTGATTTGACATCAGATCTGTGCTGCTGAGAATGTGAGCCACCTCCATCACCATCCACCATTCATTCCCCGCTCCAATGTTATTGACTTATTGGGAAAGAAGCTCTGAGAATCCAAAGGCAGGCTCAGTTACATGAGCACATTTCACTACACGCCTCGCACATCCATGCCACAGCCAAACACGCTCACACACACTGGTCGCATTCCAGAACGACTACATTACAGATGCTAGACATCAGATTGCTATATAATATAATGTGGTTTTCTGATACGTTAAACACCTATCCAGTTAAATAATAATAAAAACACTTTCCTGAAACAACACTTGCACTTGACTCCCCCCTAGCTATCTTAAGATGAATGCACTAACTGTAAATCACTCTGGATAAGAGCATCTGCTAAATAACTAAAATGTAAATGTAATCCTGGCACGTGTCTGCAATGTATTCAGCCTGGAATGCGGCGTTGTGTGTTATTGACTCAGTTGGAGACAGACCCATAGAAGGACCCTACCTCTGCCCTATTACCTCTCTTCCTAGTTAGATAGACACATTCCTAACTCAGTACAGCGGTGGTGAAATAGTTCAGTAGAGTAACACTGTGATATGCCACCCTTGTGATTGTGCTTCTCCCTCCCTGGCAGTGCCCGGTATGGCCACTGGCACAAGAATAAGACCCCAGGCGAGTACCGCACCGGGCCACGCGTCATGGTCTTCATCATCGGAGGCGTGTCCTTCAGCGAGATGCGCTCTGCCTACGAGGTCACGCAGGCCAATGGGAAGTGGGAGGCCATCATTGGTGAGTCTGACACCGGGGTGCGCCACTGGGCGCAGGCCGAGGGGGGGATACGAGGGACTCCCCCGTAGGGAGTGTGACATTAGAACAGTCGAAAGACAAAATACACTTAGACTTAGAGTCATGGACATAGACTGATGTTACTGGTACATTAACACACATATTCCTTTAATTCATGCAAGAATGCAGATTTGTTTCAAATGGACACATAGCCCCTCCCTCTGGGCACTTGTCTGTCTGAAAAGTCTGGATAGGTAGCCACAATATGGTAATATGTCCACCATGCCCTCTGATAGGCTAGGTGGAATGGCTTATATCTACACAATTATTTTCAAGATCTACACAAAGTGCCTAGGGATGGGGGCTAGGACGTAGATTGGGAAATGGGCGTCCTTCACTAACTGAGTGACTCTCGTACACTAGCTACTTCTGTTATGTCCCCATTCATTGTGGTTAGCATAGCAGAACACGAATACATATGTCAGTGCCAGTGCAACTGTATTCTGTTCCCACTATGTTGACCACAAGTGAATAAAGAAGGACGAAGCAGAGAAGTCATCTGGATAATCTTTCTCTCTTTTGAGAGCCTACCGCACTTGACCGTACTTCATTAAAACCTTGACTCATCCACACACCAACATAGTTGACCTCAATTCGCTTTCTGACTCCCATACACCCACACCATGAATCCCAGTCAGTAAAGATTAGTGTGCCTATTGAAGCAATCAACACTAATTTTGTTAGTGCTAGGCTTAGTGCTCCCGAGTGGCGCAGCGGTCTAAGGCACTACATCTCAGTGCTTGAGGTGTCACTACAGACCCCCTGGTTCGATTCCAGGCTGTATCACAACCGGCCGTGATTGGGAGTCCCATAGGGCGGCGCACAATTGGCCCAGCGTCATTCGGGTTTGGCCGGTGTAGGCCGTCATTGTAAATAAGAATGTGTTCTGTAACTGACTTGCCTAGTTAAATAAAGGATAAATGAAATAAAGAAGATCTAGGTACTTAGATGGAGGAAAACGTGATGTTTCTGATGAACACTTATCTAAGATACCACCTGTGATATTTTTAAACCCCTTTTGGGTGACGTGTTCCCTGTTCATTGAATGTTGTCTGTCTAGTCAGCCAGTCCTTGTCTTAAGGGAGGGAGTGTCTCGTCTACTGTTTTTGCTGTGCTATGCTTTTGCTTTTGGATTCTTGTTCTGTCTAAAACACTGTTGTCTTTGAATTGCAGCTACACCCTGTCTTTTTCTGTGTATCTGGGTTTTATGTCTGTCTGTGTGTGTGTGTGTGTGTGTGTGTGTGTGTGGGGGGGGGGGGGCGTGTGTGTATGGACAGTATGTGGGTGGTGCTGTGCAGTGGCTTGTTTAACCCCTTCTTTTCGAGATGGCAGAGAAAGTGTCCGAAGAGAGAAAGTGGCATGGGGGGCGTGGCATGTGATGAGAAATGAGCGTGAAGCGCCCTCTGTTCCTCCACAGGTTCCACCCACACCATCACCCCCATCAAATTCTTAACGGACCTGCAGCACCCTGACTTCCGAGAGTCCACTAGGGTGTCCTTTGAGGAGCCAGACGCAGGCTCAGACGAGTGAGACAGACAGAGAGAGGGAGGGAGGGAGAGAGAAATCACACTCTGACAAAGTAAAGGCTGCCGCGCAAAGAAGCCCTTTCTGAACCCCCACAGCACAAGGGCTTTTTTCCCCTCCGTACTCCTCTTACTACACTCAGTACTGTTTGAACTCCGCCCCCCTACCCTCAGGGATGGCTGTCTGGCCCCTGGCTCACTGCATTTCCCAGTTACCTCAGGCTCCACCACCTGCAGGGCAACACCCAATCACAGTGTGATACAGTGTGATACCGTGTGATTGGTGACCCCACAGCCAATAGTGATTGGCCTTACCATGCTGCTGACAGATAGAATGGGCATGTGTTGCAGTATATGTCTGTTGGGACTTCAGGTAGTGAAGCCTGTGTGAGCTGGCCATGCTACAGGCGTCCTGACTCCATCCCTGCTGCCCCTCTCCACCCCCACATCATCTCAGCTGGGTGGATTAAATCGCCCTCTCTGCCCTCAGGGCCGTCTCAAACCTGTTTCATACCCCGCCTCCCAGAATTAATCATTTTTTGGCGCAGATTTAATCTACCTCCAAGATCCATATTTTTCTACTTTATTATTATGGTCTAATATATTTTTTATAATTAACACCTTTCAAGACAATCACCTTGATTTAGTGGTTTCTTACCGGATAGGTCCTTGAGTTGATGTTGGATTTCAAGAAAGGATTCTCATTTTTTTGTTCTCTTTTTAATTTTTTCAATCTTCCAACTTTCTCCCCCTCTCCTCCACCTCACGCTCTCTCAGTCCACCAGACATCACATGCATGCTTACATGGCCCAGGAGTCATCTGCAGAGAACACTAAAGTTTGTCCCTACTGCTATCTCCACTCCCTCGGACACTCTGTTTCTCTGCAGACACTGACACTGGGAATGTAGCGATGTTCACTCGATATGCTTTAGCACCTAGAAAAGATGCGACACATCATAAAAACCCTTCAGGATTGCCCCCCTCACTTTCTTTCGCATACAGCTCCATATTCTCCCCCTAGCAACACCATATGTTGCCCATACAGCATAGTCAACCAATAGTAGACCAATATGGGTTTTGGGACATAGAGACAGAAATGTAAAAGCACATATCATAGGAATGTATACAGGTCTACTTTTCAAACACCAATATTATCAATTACCACATCACTGCCTAATTTTGGGATTTTGGCTAATTAAGTAAGTAAGATTTTCCCCACATTGTCAAAGATTTTTTTGCACACTTTGTTAAAGGGATAGTGCGAGATTCTGGCAATGAATTAAAAAGCATCTACTTACCCAGAGTCAAATGAACTAGTGGATACCATTTTTATGTCTCTGTGTCCAGTATGAAGGAAGTTAGAGGTAGTTTCGCAAGCCAATGCTAACTAGTGTTAGCGCAACGACTGGAAGTCAACAGGTACGCTAGCGGTATCCACCAGTTCATTTGACTCTGGGTAAGTAGAAAAACGGCTTAATTGCCAGAATCTCGCACTATCCCTTTAAAGCTGTCTCCTAAGTGAGTTTCCCTCAACACATTAGCAAAGGGCATCCATTTCGTTCTTGCTCATCTGCTAAAGCTATATCCTTTTCAAACAACTTTTGGTTTTGGTGTTTTCTTAGTAAATATCGATCACCGTGCAGTATGGACTCTTTATCACATACTGCCACATTCAACACTTCCAGAACAAAATGACCATTGTTTATTAAAAAAAACTGTTTGTTTCTGTTATCTGGTATTTGGATATAATCCTACCCATGTAGTGAGCGTTGGGGAGCAACATGGATCAAAGTGTTGTGTTTCTGGCCAGAGGCCTGCAAAGCTGTGTGTTTCAGACGCTGAGAGACAGGAGAGAACCAGGCAAGGCCAGTCCAAAGTTGATCTGTGACTAGTGCTCACCCCCACCCCACCTCACACCACCCCACCCCCCCTTACACCCACGATGTCTGCATCACCATGGTGACCCAACTTAAGATGGACTCGCCTCTTCCTCTCCTGTCTCTGCCTGTGCCTATTGATGCTAGGATAAACCAGTCCTCCTGATTGGCTGTCATGCCACAGCTAGAAATCCCTAACTGACAGGACCAATTAGATATATTGAGCTTTAATTGAATTCTACCTAGCAACAGGTAAGCCAATGCGTCTTCCTTGGTGAGCCAATATGACAGAAACATGCAACTTTGCTTCAGAAACAAACCGATGAAGAATAACAATACTACTGATTAAACTGTTGAGTAGGGGTAGGGAGTAAATCAAAACCTTGGTCCAGCGGTTTGCTTAATGAAGGCATTGGTTTGTCCAAGGTGGAGGGTAAGCCATCGACACACTCAACAACTTAGTGACAAAGTGATAAACTAGATGGACAAAGGTTTGGTTGACTCCAATCCTATACCTGAGTTATACTGTGTCCGAAATGTGTCTTCAGCTATGAAAAAGTCAGCTCATTCATATTTTGGTGGTGCTGTTATGTTTAGCTTTCAATTTCACGTTTTCATTCACAAGCAAAATTACTTCCCTGATGTCATCCAATCAGAGAATGGCTGGACTGAAATCTGCTTTTCTTTTTTGCAGTGTTTTGACCAGATTTTTCATATTGCTATTAGACTGATGTTTGCATGCACTGTGATAAAAGCTTCTTAGGTCACATGCACACGCTTACACCTGATTCGCTGCACTCTCCTATAGGTGTGGTCACAGGTTCTACCACCAGTGCTTTGCAGCTCACAGAATCCTGCAAGCTCTGTGATGTCAGTACATCATTGTCCAATCACGACCGATCCAATTGCATGTGCATTTTTGGCAGGCAGTGCATTACCCCACCAATCTTCTAGGATCTCTAAAACGTGTGAATAGCCAACACATCGTATGATAACCAATAATGATAACCAATACATTCTCCAAATGCTGACTACTGACTATGATTTCAAGTTGTTTAGTAGTACATATATGTTTATCTTATTTCCAACATTTCTTTCTCAAGAATACAGTGCTTTCATCTAAGCATTCATAGCAAGAGCTGAAAACACATTTTCCTAGCTGGCTTATGTTTGGGCAGCTCTAATACAGTGCTCTGTCTATGTGCTTCCTCTACTGCGTATCTGTCCTACTCTCTAGGATCGACCCACGTCTTCACCCCCACCGCCCTCCTGGAACAGCTCAAGACCATGAACAAACCAGATGAGGAACCAGCAAGCTAAAATCACCCAGCCCCATTTATCTATCCTTTCCTCTCCCCTACACATCCCCCAGTCACCCTCCCAAAATCCTACATGAATTGTATAAGCATCTTGCACGAGAAGATGAAAAATACAAAACAATGATAGCATTGATGAAAAAAATATATGTTGAAACAGAAATAAAATAATGTTGCAAGTATTCTCATGTTTTACAATGGATGCAAATAATGGAACTTATTTAAAAAAGGTTTAATTATCAACTAAGGCCATTTGAAACTGAAAGAACCAAATGTAATATTGTATGCTATGAAACCTGCTAGAATGTGTAAAATGTAGAGGTTTTCTCTGTTTGTTCCCTCAGTTTATCTTATTGGTGTGAATTTTATTGGTAGTGGGTGGACGAGGGATGCCTTACTGGAGTTGGTTGGCACTAGACAGGTCAATGCATTAAGATCATATCACTCAACATGCAATATAACTCATCCCAGTCCTATTAGGGGGGAGAATCTTAGCTGGTCAAGACATTTGTATCAGTTGCATACAGGGATGGAACCTAAGGATTTTGGGCACTGGCCAGATGGGCTAGTAGACTGCAATTTCTACTAGTCCAAAATCTTTGCCATGCGATATTTGAAAATACAACATTTCACTAGCCGGTGGGCTAGTTGGGCACATTTTCTACTAGACCAGTCTGAAAAGTACTAGCCAGGGGCTAGCGGGCTAGCTTAATTTCCATCCCTGGTAGCATGCCTGAACATTGTGTGGACTGTTACTGTATATTCTTTAGTATGGCAATACTGAGACCAAGCAACCCAAGAGATCATTTAATCACAGTGCTGTCTGTGAGTTAGACAGTAACAAACAGCCAAACTGACCCTAGGTCTGAGGATAGAAAAAAACGGAACTCTGTAAATAGCTACAGAATGGTAGAAGCATCCTTCCTCCAGCCATAAGACTGGAAGTATTTACTCGCCACATCCTTTTCCTTTTCTCTGGAGAGATTTCACATTTTAGTGTCAAAAGGCCATTGCTTGCAGATGTTTAAAGAATAATCATAAAGGGCCGATTTGTATTTCAGTATTGTATCCTGTCACGTTGTAAGTCTTATCATTGGTTAGTATCAAAATGTTTAGCCGGGTCATGCACTGAGTAGTGTGTTGTGTATATGCCATATGTTGATGTTTAGTGTCTCACTGTTGACTGGTGATGTTTCTGACTGTCAAGTAGTAAAATATTTCCTTTAAAAAATGTCAATGTGAAGCCACATGTGTTTGTGATGTTTTAGCTGTAGCTGTAGTGGTCAACTGGGAAAATAACTAATATCTATATTTTGTTTGTCTGTCCGTTAGTTTTATCTTCTGGTGCAATGTTAACTCTTCCAATGGTGAATGGCTTTGCAAAGAAAATGTAACCCCAATATTTATAACGTTTTATTTCTCATTTTTTCTCTCTCTATTTCCTGGCAAAACAGGTTGTAAATTGATTGCACTATGCGTTTTCTGTGATGCAAACACTTTTTATTTTTTCTATAATCAGTTGGTGTTGTAAAGGGTTCTCTGTCTATTCAATTAATTTATATCAAAGTTATTTATCAGAGAGAAAAAATATTAATAAATGAAACATAAGTCTATCCTAAACCGGTTTAACTTATTGGGATTCTATGTTTGCGAGTGTTGAAGCACAAACAAAAGTATACTTAATGTGTACCAATGTACTAAGGCTGTCTAATAAATTGGCTTCCATTACAAGGACAAAAGACTCAGCACATTCTTAGCTACATTGTAAGATACCGTAGCAATTATGCTATTCTTCACTGTGGTGTATCTGTGCTGTATCTGTGAGTTGACACTCATTTCAGGCTCATAGTTCACATTTTTTCAGTTAAGACCCTGCAGAATATCTCTGGCCCTGTACATACTCAGGTTGTATAACTGATGTACAATACATTTTACACGTTGGTTGTGATACAAATTATATTTTTGTGATACAACAGAGTTGTGCGGTGTCTCCACAACACTTGTGTAATTATTTTTGTACAGAGAAAGTCTGCGTTGTATCAAAAGGGTTGTGTCAAATGCATTATACATCAGTTATACAACTTCAGTGTGTACGGGTCTCTGACAGTATGACACCCAGGTGACTCATCCATACTTGCAGTGAGGGAAAAAAGTATTTGATCCCCTGCTGATTTTGTACGTTTGCCCACTGACAAAGAAATTATCAGTTTATAATTTTAATGGTAGGTTTATTTGAACAGTGAGAGACAGAATAACATAAAGAAAATCCAGAAAAACGCATGTTAAAAATGTTAGAAATTGATTTGCATTTTAATGAGGGAAATAAGTATTTGACCCCCTCTCAATCAGAAAGATTTCTGGCTCCCAGGTGTCTTTTATACAGGTAACGAGCTGAGATTAGGAGCACACTCTTAAAGGGAGTGCTCCTAATCTCAGTTTGTTACCTGTATAAAATACACCTGTCCACAGAAGCAATCAATCAATCAGATTCCAAACTCTCCACCATGGCCAAGACCAAAGAGCTCTCCAAGGATGTCAGGGACAAGTTGTAGACCTACACAATGGGCTACAAGACCATCGCCAAGCAGCTTGGTGAGAAGGTGACAACAGTTGGTGCGATTATTCGCAAATGGAAGAAACACAAAAGACTGTCAATCTCCCTCTGCCTGGGGCTCCATGCAAGATCTCACCTTGTGGAGTTGCAATGACCATGAGAACAGTGAGGAATCAGCCCAGAACTACCCGGGAGGATCTTGTCAATGATCTCAAGGCAGCTGGGACTATAGTCACCAAGAAAACAATTGGTAACACACTACGCCGTGAAGGACTGAAATCCTGCAGCGCCCGCAAGGTCCCCCTGCTCAAGAAAGCACATATACAGGGCCGTCTGAAGTTTGCCAATGAACATCTGAATGATTCAAAAAATTCAGAGGAGAACTGGGTGAAAGTGTTGTGGTCAGATGGGACCAAAATCGAGCTCTTTGGCATCAACTCAACTCGCCGTGTTTGGAGGAGGAGGAATGCTGCCTATGACCCCAAGAACACCATCCCCACCGTCAAACATGGAGGTGGAAACATTATGCTTTGGGGGACGATGGACGGGGCCATGTACCGTCAAATCTTGGGTGATAACCTCCTTCCCTCAGCCAGTGCATTGAAAATGGGTCGTTGATGGGTATTCCAGCATGACAATGACCCAAAACACACGGCCAAGGCAACAAAGGAGTGGCTCAAGAAGAAGCACATTAAGGTCCTGGAGTGGCCTAGCCAGTCTCCAGACCTTAATCCCATAGAAAATCTGTGGAGGGAGCTGAAGGTTCGAGTTGCCAAACGTCAGCCTATAAAACCTTAATGACTTGGAGAAGATCTGCAAAGAGGAGTGGAACAAAATCCCTCCTGAGATGTGTGCAAACCTGGTGGCCAACTACAAGAAATGTCTGACCTCTGTGATTGCCAACAAGGGTTTTGCCACCAAGTACTAAGTCATGTTTTGCAGAGGGGTCCAATATTTATTTCCCTCATTAAAATGCAAATCAATTTATAACATTTTTGACATGCGTTTTTCTGGATTTTTTGTTGTTATTCTGTCTCTCACTGTTCAAATAAACCTACCATTAAAATTATAGACTGATCATGTCTTTGTCATTGGGCAAACATACAAAATCAGCAGGGATCAAATACTTTTTTTCCCTCACTGTAACAAGCTGGTTATAAGCGATATCAGCCTTACTTAATAACAACTATTAGTCAGCCTTACTTAATAACAACTATTAGTACAACTTTGGAAACCATTAGAGACAGGTGCATAATGTACTCAGTATTACCAGAGAAATATAGAAAACTGTTTCAAGAATGTGACACTATAAAGATCATCTGTTTCAACATCAACATTTATTTGGCTTCAAAGAGGAAATAAAAATGTTGGTAAAAAAATAATGTAATAATCAATCACAGTACAAAAGTACAAAAGATATCAGGATCTAGATTTTTCCAAATCTGCATTTCTGAAATCCTAGAAATGTGTATTTCTGAAATCGTATTTTTGTCTTAAACACAAACTCTATTAAGACCATCTATACATTTGTTTTGCTTATTTTTCTGAAAAAATATTTTCCTGATGGGTACAAGTTAACTACACTATGATAACACTGACACCAGTTATTAACCTTATTAACTAATTATTACACACAATACACAACTGATCAAGAACAAAATACAAAACAAACAATTTAGAATTAATAGATTAGGGTAATACAACTAAGAAATCAATGTGTGAATAGTTAATCTCCTCATCTGAAGATCCATAGCAGCAATTTATTTTATCTTTGTCACAGTCATTGTTCAAATGAAAAAAAAAATATTCCAGGTTTCAAAGCAAACTAAACAAACAACGTGCATATGTCAGTTATTTTGAAACGTAAATCATTCATATATAAATCATTCAGATTCTTGTGCATTTTATGAGTAAGAGATTAACTTGTGTTTTTTTCTATATGATACCTGAGATTGCAATATACATTTAAGTCATTTAGCAGACGCTCTTACCCAGAGCGACTTACAGTAAGTGAGTGCATACATTCTTTTTTATTTTTGTATTTTTCATACTGGCCCCCCGTGGGAATCGAACCCACAACCCTGGCGTTGCAAACGCCATGCTCTACCAACTGAGCTACATCCCTGCTGGCCATTCCCTCCCCTACCCTGGATGACTTGTGCGCCGCCCCATGGGTCTCCCGGTCGCGGCCGGCTATGACAGAGCCTGGATTTGAACCAGGAGCTCTAGTGGCACAGCTAGCACTGCGATGTAGTGCCTTAGACCACTGCGCCACTCGGGAGTAGACCACTAGCCGCTCAAACTTTGATCTAAAGCCATAACATGTACTGTACAAAGTAACCTATAACCTGTAGAAAGTACCGTGTGTAGACCCTACCTTACTATCAGTGCTGAGCCACTGTTGTTTGTTGCCTAATAAATACGACCCTCGTGTACGTCTGGTCTGGTCCATCAGTACATGCAGGACTGTGACAGCGCCTCCTGGTGGTGCAGTCCAGTGGCGATGGAGCGGGCCATGCGTCGGGAGGTCTCCCTCATCCCCCTGGCCGCCTCGATGGCATGGTTCAGAGAGCTGCTCAGAGAGCGCTGGTCAGCAGACAGGGAACGGCCAGCTCCACCTCTCACCTGCTCACGACCCCTGACCCCAGAGACCACACCCCCACTCAGAGACATGTAGATTGGCTGGCGGTGGGATGGAGCTAACTTTATCACGGGGCTGGAGTAGTACCTGCAGGGAACAGGACAGATTCTAACTACACTTACATACTACTCCTCTTACTACATAGGGGGAGAAAGTGGGATGTTAAACAATGCTGATACTTATGTGTGATGACAGATACTTATGTGTGATTCAAATATTCACACTAATAAAACCATTAGAGGATTAATGCAAAATGTAAGCACCTATTTCCTCAAGTCAGGATTTTGGCCAAAAGTGTGCTGCTTACTCGTGTTGTCACCACTTAAGTGGTGAGTTTGTGTCTTAACTCTGAGAGATTTCATTAGGGTTGGCAGCAGATGAAGAGGGGGTTGTAGCAAAATTATTAATTAACCTAATGGCCACTTTTTCATGTCTGGAGAAAAAGAGAGAGAAAGAGAGAGAGAGAGCGAGAGAGGGAGGGAGAGAGCAGAGTACTCACAGAACTGGCGGGCACACTGGCACACACTGGACCAGCGGCACACTGCCCAGCATGGGAAGGGGCGGTGCTGCAAATGACACGCCTCTCACATCTCTGTGGGGGGAGCTCATTGGCTGGGTGCCTCTGTGGGCGGGACCCATGTCTCTCTCCGTCCTCCGGTCTGTGAATCAGAAATCAGCACAGGCTTGTTGTCAATTAAAATAACAACGCGTTTCAACACAACAGAAAACAGGAAGTGAATCAAATAAAATAAAATTGTATTTGTCATGCTTCGTAAACAACAGGTGTAGACTAACTGTGAAATGTCTTACTTATGGGCCGTCCCAACAATAAAAAAATAAAAAAAGAGAATAACACAAGAAATATGCTGTAGGGATGTAGCTCAGTTGGTAGAGCATGGCGTTTGCAATGCCAGGGTTGTGGGTTCAATTTCCACGGGGGTCCAGTATAAAAAAATAATAATAAATAAAAAATTAAATAATGTTGCACTCAAGTCGCTTTGGATAAGAGCGTCTGCTAAAATGTAAATGTTGAGGTAGATATGTACACATACAGAACCAGTCAAAAGTTTGGACACACCTACTCATTCAAGGGTTTTTCTTTATTTTTATAATTTCTCTACATTGTAGAATAATAGTGAAGACATCAAATCTATGAAATAACCCATATGGAATCCTGTAGTAACCAAAAAAGTGTTAAACAAATCAAAATATATTTTATATTTGAGATTCTTCAAAGTAGCCACCCTTTGCCTTGATGACAGCTTTGCACACTCTTGGCAGTAAAAAATAAAGAAAAACCCTGGAATTAATAGGTGTGTCCAAACTTTTGACTGGTACTGTATGTATGTGTATGTATGTATGTATGTATGTATGTATGTATGTATGTATGTATGTATGTATGTATGTATGTATGTATATATATATATATATATATATATATATATATATATATATATGTATGTATGTATGTATGTATGTATATGTATATGTATATATATATATATTTCAGAAAAAATATATATGGGGGAGCGGAAGTGATGCAGACAATTACATTGATGGAAGTTACAATCTATTGGCAATACTAAAGCTGATCTACCCCCTAAAAAACCCCAAATATATATATATATGTATATTTAGCAGTCTTTTACAGTGCATTCGGAAAGTATTCAGACCCCTTGACTTGATTAAATTGTTTTTTCCCCTCATCAATCTACACACAATACCCCATCATGACAAAGCAAAAATAGGTTATTTTATTTTTTTGCAAATTTATTAAAAATTAAAAAACTTAAATATTACATTTACATAAGTACTCAGATCCTGTACTCAGTACTTTGTTGAAGCACCTTTGGCAGCGATTACAGCCTCAAGTCTTTTTGGGTATGACGCTACAAGCTTGGCACACCTGTATTTGGGGAGTTTCTCCCATTCTTCTCTGCAGGTCCTCTCAAGATCTGTCAGGTTGGATGGGGAACATCGCTGCACAGCTATTTTCAGGTCTCTCCAGAGATGTTCGATCGGGTTCAAGTCCGGGCTCTGGCTGGGTCACTCAAGGACATTCAGAGACTTGTCCCGAAGCCACTCCTGCGTTGTCTTAGCTGTGTGCTTAGGGTCGTTGTCCTGTTGGAAGATGAACCTTCGCCCAAGTCTGAGGTCCTGAGCGCTCAGGAGCAGGTTTTCATCAAAGATCTCTCTGTACTTTGCTCTGTTCATCTTTCCCTAGATCCTGACTAGTCTCCCAGTCCCTGCCGCTGAAAAACATCTCCACAGCATGATGCTGCCACCACCATGCTTCAACGTAGGGATTGTGCCAGGTTTCCTCCAGATGTGACGCTTGGCATTCAGGACAAAGAGTTCAGTCTTGGTTTCATCAGACCAGAGAATCTTGTTTTTCATGGTCTGAGTGTCACACCCTGACTCTAGGACTCGTATTTGTTGAGTCAGGGTGTGTATTTTCTGTGTCGTGTTGTGCTATGTTTATTGTCTATGGTTAGATCTAGTATGTATAGATCTATGTTGGCCTGTGTGGTTCCCAATCAGAGGCAGCTGTTGCTCGTTGTCTCTGATTGGGGACCATACTTAGGCAGCCTTTTGGCACCTGTTAGTTGTGGGATCTTGTTCCGTGTAAGGTATGTTGTTTGTATGCTACCTTGGACTTCACGTTTCGTTTGTTGTTTTGCTGTGTGTTTAGTCATTAATAAACATGAATGCATATCACGCTGCGCCTTGGTCCTTCTCGTCCGTAAACGATCGTGACAGAAGATCCCACCAAAATAGGACCAAGCAGCGTGTTCAGGAGCAAACGTCGGGAATTAAACAGGAGGTTACGTTAGTAGATGTCCTCCTTGGTTGGGGGAGAATCACGGAGGAGGAGGCCGTCCGCTACCGGAAGGCGATGAAGGAGGATGCCCAGGTAGGAGAGGTGAAACGGCGCCAACAGTGCCGACGACGGAGACCCGAGAGGCAACCCCAAGAAACATTTTTTGTGGGGGGCACACGGTGTGGACGACGAGGCAGCAGGAGGCAGTGACAGGGCGGATCTGCAGGTTAGGAGAGGAGGCCACCAGGTTAAGGGGGCTATTGGTTCAGAGGGAGCAGGAGTTACAGTATTTGGTCAGAGGGAGGAGCTACAGGAGGCTATAAGGGAGAAGGAGAGTGTAGAGGCACGGCGAGAGGAGCTGGTTAGGCAGCAGAAGGAGCGGGGGTTTATAAAGGAACCCAGTCCCGCTCCTCGCACCAAGCAAGTGGTGCGTGTCGCCAGTCCGGTCCGGCCCGTTCCTGATCCCCGCACTAAGCCAGTGGTGCGTGTTCCCAGTACGGCCCGACCCATTCCTGCTCCCCGCACAAAGCCAGTGGTGTGTGTTCCCAGTCCGGTCCGGCCCGTTCCTGCTCCTCGCATCAAGCCAGTGGTGCGCGTCGCCAGCCCGGTCCGGCCTGTTCCTGTCCCTCGCACCAAGCCAGTGGTGCGCGTCGCCAGCCCGGCCCGGCCTGTTCCTGTCCCTCGCACCAAACCAGTGGTGCGCGTCGCCAGCCCGGCCCGGCCTGTTCCTGCCCCTCGCACCAAACCAGTGGTGCGCGTCGCCAGCTCGGCCCGGCCTGTTCCTGCCCCTCGCACCAAACCAGTGGTGCGCGTCGCCAGCCCGGCCCGGCCTGTTCTTGCCCCTCGCACCAAACCAGTGGTGCGTGTCGCCAGCCCGGTCCGGCCTGTTCCTGCCCTTTCAAAGCATTTCAAAGCATTTCATGGCTACAGATGTGAGTACTACGGGGTGTTCTTGGGCACAGGGACTATGGTGGTCTGCTTGAAACATGTAGGTATTACAGACTGGGTCAGGGAGAGGTTGACAGTGTCAGTGAAGACACTTGTCAGCCGGTCAGCGCATGCTCTGAGGACACGTCCTGGGAATGTTAACCTGTTTAAAGGTCTTACTCACATCGGCTATGGAGAGCGTGATCATACAGTCCTCTGGAACAGCTGGTGCTCTCATGCATAGTTCAGTGTTGCTAGCCTCGAAGCGCGCATAGAAGGTATTTAGCTCGTCTGGTAGGCTTGCGTCACTGGACAGCTCGCGGCTGAGTTTCCCTTCGTAATCCGTGATAGTTTGCAAGCCCTGCTACATCCGACGAGCGTCAGAGCCGGTGTAGTAGGATTCGATCTTGGTCCTGTATTGACACTTTGCCTGTTTGATGCTTCGTCAGACGCCATAGCAGGATTTCTAATAAGCATCTGGATTAGTGTCACGCTTATTGAAAGCGGCAGTTCTAGCCTTTAGCTCAGTGTGGATGTGCTTCGCGCGCTTTGCGTACTCGTCTCTACTCGACTAGCTACCTAGTGTAGTGTCACACACACACAGTAGCCGCAGCCGCTCGCCAGTTAACCCTCTTTCATCAAAAGGACTGACAACTTCCTCACAAAAATTATTAAATCCAGTCAATAATCCATAGCTTCTGGTTGGGATATGTACATACGGTCACTGTGGGGACAACATCGTCGATGCACTTATTAATGAAGCTGGTGATTGATGTGCTAAACTCCTCAATGCCATTCGATGAATCAGGAGGATAGAGCTATGGTCAGATTTGCCAAATGGAGGGAGAGGGAGAGCTGTGTATGCGTCTCTGTGTGTGGAGTAAAGGTGATCTCAAGTTTTTTCGCCTCTAGTTGCACACGTGACATGCTGGTAGAAATGAGGTAAAATAGATTTCAGTTTTCCTGCATTGAAGTCACCGGCCACTAGGAGCACTGCCTCTGGGGTGAGCATTTTCTTATTTGCTTATGGCCTTATACAGCTCGTTGAGTGCGGTCTTAGTGCCAGCATCGGTTTGTGGTGGTAAATAGACAGCTACGAAAAACATAGATGAAAACTCTCTTGGTAAATAGTGTGGTCTACAGCTTATCATGAGGTATTCTAACTCAGGCGAGCAGAACCTTGAGACTTCCTTAATATTAGAGATTGCGCACTAGTTGTTGTTAACAAAGAGACACACACCCCCTCCTCTGAGCTTCCCCGACGCAGCCGTTCTGTCCTGCCGATGCATAGAAAAACCAGCTAGATGTATATTATACATGTCCTTGTTCAGCCACGACTCGGAGAAACATAGGATATTACAGTTGTTGGTTATCAAGTTGATAGGATAGTCTCGAACGGAGCTCATCCAGTTTATTCTCCAGTGATTGCACGTTCGCCAATAGAACGGAGGGTAGAGGCAATTTATCCACTCTCCAACGAAGTCTTGTCAGCAATCCCGCACGTTGGCCTCTATAACGCCGTCTCCTCCTTCTTGGGAATTTGGGCCTGGTCCGCGATAATCCATATGTCTTTCGCCTCCGACTCATTGAAGTAGAAGTCCTCATCCAAATAGTGTTCATCCAGTAGCTGTTCAGATGTCCAGAAGCTCTATTCGGTCATAGGAAACGATGGCGGAAACATTATGTACAAAAAAAGGTACGATTAGCGCCCAAAAATACACAGAAGAGCACAATTTCTCAGGAGCCCGTAAAACGGACACCATTCCCTCCGGCGCCATACCGGAGGGAATGACGAGTGTACAGTAGATAGTTATAGGAGTACTTGATGTTAAGGTCTCACCGTATTCCCTGCTTGTGTTCCCATATGTCTCAGACCTCCCACACATAGGACAGTGACAAGAATGAAGCCCAGTGTGACCGTGGATAGCCTCAGTGTCACCACCACCCTCTTCTTGTTCTGTCAGTCAGAAGAAAAGACAAGGAAGAATAAAGACTGAGCAGAAAGGAGTGGAGAAGACACAGTATTGACTGTCACTGTGACACACAAACCACCATTACACCACAGACTGAGAATGCGTCCTAGATGGCACCCTATTCCCTATGTATTGTACTACTTTTGAGCAAAGCCGTATGCGTAGTACACTATATAGGGAATAGAATGCCATTTGGTACGTAGCCTGAGAGAGAAGCTCTTACGTGTAGAGTGTCCATTGGTGTGTGTCTGTGGAGCACACTGTAGACACACAGGGGCCTGCCTCCCTCTACAGTCAGGTTCATCACCAATATACCCACATCCACCTACAGACATACTGACATGCTGCCCTGCAATCAAAATACAATACAGATTAAAATACTATATTTTACATTCATATCAGCATGTAGCCTAGTGTAGCTCAGTTGATAGAGTATGGCGCTTGCAACGCCAGGATAGTGGGTTTGATTCCCGGGACCACCTGTAGGTAAAATGTATGTACATTCACTTGGGATAAACGCGTCTGCTAATTGGCATATATTATTATATTCAAACAGAAGTCGTTCTTACTGGTGTGGGCTCCTCTGTTCCTGACTGTCTCTGCTCTGCCATGTGATGCAGGGGACTCTGGGATACGTCTGGAGGACCGAGGTCTGGGTGTGAACTGGGCATGCTCCGAATCTGTCGCTGGAGATAAAACAAACAAAATCAATATTTTGCCAGATTACTTATACCTAGGGTACCCAGCAAAAATAGCATTCTAGTGAATGACGAATGTATTGTGAAGTGTATAGTGAAGTGTGTTGTGAAGTGTATAGTTGAAGTGTAATGGGAAGTGTATTGTGAAGTGTATTGAGAAGTGTATTGTATTGTCTACTGTGAAGTATATTGTGAAGTGTATTGTGGAGTGTACTGTATGTATGTATGTATGTATGTATGTAAAGTGCAATGAGTGTCCCAGGCGAGTCCCAAATGGCACCATATTCCCTATAAAGTGCACTACTTTTGAGCAATGCCCTATAGGGAATAGGGTACCATTTGGAATACAACCCATAACTCACTGATATCCAGTTCAAGTCTTAGAGGCTGTCGAGGTACAGAAGCTGATCTTCTAGGAGTTGACCTCGGAGCCCTCTCCTCCTCCTCCTGCTCGGAGCCCCTCTTCCTCTCTCTACCACCATCCCTCCTTCGCTGAGCAGACCTGGGAGAGGAGAAGCATCCAAAGGAACATTACAAAATCAAAACGGTGAAAGAAAGACAATGGGACCCTATTCCCTATATACAGTACATTTGGAAAGTATTCAGACCCCTTGACTTTTTCCACATTTTGTTACATTACAGCCTTATTCTAAAATTGATTCAATTGTTTTTCCCCCTCATCAATCTACACACAATACCCCATCATGACAAAGCAAAAACATTCACATAAGTATTCAGACCCTTTACTCAGTACTTTGTTTGGCAGCGCTTACAGCTTTGAGTCTTCTAGGGTATGACGCTACAAGCTTGGCACACCTGTATTTGGGGGGTTTCTACCATTCTTCTCTGCAGATCCTCTCAAGCTCTGTCAGGTTAGATGGGGAGCGTTGCTGCACAGCTATTTTCAGGTCTCTCCAGAGATGTTGGATCGTGTTCAAGTCCGGGCTCTGGCTGGGACACTCAAGGACATTCAGAGACTTGTCCCGAAGCCACTCCTGCATTTCTTGTCTGTGTGCTTAGGGTCGTTGTCCTGTCGGAAGGTGAACCTTCACCCCAGTCTAAGGTCCTGAGCGCTCTGGAGCAAGGTTTTCATCAAGGATCGCTCTGCCCTTTGCTCTGTTCAACACCTCGATCTTGACTAGTCTCCCAGTCCCTGCCATTGAAAAACATCCCCACAGCTGTCATGTGCCTTTTACTGAGGAGTGGCTTCCGTCTGGCCACTCTACCATAAAGGCCTGATTGGTTGTCCTCCTGGAAGGTTCTCCCATCTCCACAGAGGAACTCTGACCATCGGGTTCTTGGTCACCTCCCTGACCAAGGCCCTTCTCCCCTGATTGCTCAGTTTGGCCAGGCGGCCAGCTCTAGGAAGAGTCTTGGTGGTTCCAAACTTCATCCATTTAAGAATGATGGAGGCCACTGTGTTCTTGGGGACCTTCAATGCTGCAGACATTTTTTGGTACCCTTCCCCAGATCTGTGCCTCGACACAATCCTGTCTTGGAGTTCTACGGACAATTCCTTCGACCTCATGGCTTGGTTTTTGCTCTGACATACACTGACAACGTTGGGACCTTATATAGATGGGTGTTTGCCTTTCCAAGTCATGTCCAATCAATTGAATTTACCACAGGTGGAATCTAATCAAGTTGTAGAAACATCTCAAGGATGATCAATGGAAACAGGATGCACCTGAGCTCAATTTCGAGTCTCATAGCAAAGGGTCTGAATACTTATTTAAATAAGATATTTCCATTGTTAGTTTTTTTTCATTTGCAAAAATTTCTGAAAACCTGTTTTCGCTTTGTCATTATGGGGTATTCTGTGTAGATTGATGAGGAAAACATTTAATTTTATCAATTTAAGAATAAGGCTGTAACTTAACAAAATGTGGAAAAAGGGAAGGGGTCTGAATACTCTCCGAATCCACTGTAGTGCACTACTTTTGACCAGTGCCCTAAGAGACAGTAGAAATGGCAATTAACCTGTTTCAACAGCATCACATGTATGATGAAATCTCACTTAAAAAAGTTTTAAAAAAATAACAACCTAATGCGAGGTGTTGAGCTGAGAGGGTGTGTGTGGTCATTCTGGGCTGAGGGGGGCGCTCTGACAGGACTGGGAGGGTTGGTCTGTCTCATACTTCCCTCTAGTCGCTCCTTCAGTCTGCTCACCTCCACTTGCAGAGACTGGATGGCTTCACTGGGACACAGATGCGCATGCAAACAAACACACATGATGACAAAACAAAGACAAAGACTCACACAGATACACACACACACACACACACAGAGGAGAATGAGTACATATAGAAGTGGTGATGCTCTGTCTACCTCACAACTTTGTTTCAACTCGATCAGTAATAGTACTTGTTCCAAATATTGTAGTTAGTAATATTGAAGTAATATCACCACAAGTGTGTTATAGGTGTTAAAACTTACAATTGACCCAGCGAACCAATCGATTTGACATTCCAAGCCAAACCATACACATTATTTTGCTAAACTCATTCCTATTAATATGTGAGTCAAGAAGCAGGGTCCACTCATGCAGTGCCACACCATGCAAGAGTCAACACTGGGTATGTATATACCTCCTGAGTCTCCACATTTACTATCTCCCAAGTCTGTAATGAAATCAAATCATATAGAATGTAAAAATTACTCAGGTTTTCTGGCATTTCACTTGATGTATCAGACTCTACACCAACCAGCCAACACCCTCACCATAAACGGAAATTAAATATAAAACGTCTAATAACGTCCTAGATTCTACTGGGAATTGCCAGAGCTGGTATTTGTTGCTGCAGTGAAGAAGCCCTCTTCTCCTCCCAGCCAATACGTTCCAAAGGGACTCATACATCTGGGCTTGTTTGTGCCACTGTCGCCATGGCAGTTGCTGTAGAGAGAGAGAGAGAGAGAGAGACTCACTTGCGATTGGTCAACTGACCAGCGCTCAGGGCTCGAGGGGGATCGCCATGGTGATTGGGTGCAGTGGGGGAGTGGTTTGGCTGGTAGCAGTGCTGGGGATTGGGTGTTCGGGTGGAACGGTCACTCCGTCCCTTGTCCTCTCCTGACACAGTGTGGACTGAGTAGAGATGGATGAGAGATGGAGGAGAGAAGGAGGGTTTTAAAAGAGGGCAGGGGAGAGGTAGATGATGAAATAAACTGGCACTGGTAAAGAAACATAGCCAACCAGCTTGCTGCCTCCCTACTTGCTCTCAGGAGGGTACATGCTTCTGACACAGAGTAGATTATGTAGTTACTAGACTGACAGATATTAGTGCTTCATTACACAATGTTGTTATGTGTTCTTAGCAAGGGTTAGAACCGGTTCAGGGAACAGAACCGAAAACCGGAAAATAACGAAATTATTTGAGTGATCTAAAGTGATCTATACTGTTCTGGAACAGAACCGTCCTTTTAAAAGCATGGAAATCGGTTAACAGCGTTCTTTTAAGTTCCGGCCATTTTTTTCCAGTCCCACAAAAATCCCAACAAAACGCCTATGCAAAGCCCTCACTCTGTCACTAAAAAAAGTATTCCACTTGTGCCTGCCAGCTGGAACTCTTTGCCAGTGGGTTGTGCGTGTGTGGGCTACTGACGATGTTACAAGCATGACTCAGAAATTAGGGAGAGATGTTTAAAATAATGGATTAACTTTGTCTAAACCATGCTGTTACGGCAAAATACAATTTGCTCTTAACGACTTTCCTATTCAGATTACATCGATTACTAGCTCCATAGCAAGCAGCTCTATCCACACTGATTGGTGAAGTCATTTAATGTTGAGCTAAATGTAAAATGTTGGTTTAAAAAGGAACAATTTAAACCAGTGCTTTTTTTTTGGTACGAACCGGTTCAGAACTTTATTTAGCTGGTCGGAACAGTGGAACGGAACGTAAAAATGTATGGTTCTGTTCAGAACGAAACGAACCGATTGGAAAATGATTTCGGTTCCAACCCCTGTTCTCAGTCACTTCATGTAAGAACACATTTTGCAACCTAACATAAATATGACGGTTATAGACAGAACAGCATGGACTCACTATGGTCACTGCCTGGTCCAAACTCACTGGTCCCACTGCCAGCCCAGGGCTGGGGGAACCTGGATGCTGAGGTGCCCCTCCTCCCCCCCCCCCTGGTTCTCCCTGAAGAGCCCCCTACCCTCCTTGGGGTGCTGAGAGGAGAGCCTCCACTGTGCTCCAGCGAGGGGGGTCTCTGAGGTCTGTGTGAGGGGGAGGAGGAGGGGACAGGGGCTGTGTGCTGGGGCTTCCCTGAGTTCTGCTCCTCTGGGAGTGACAGGCTACACAGCCAGGGGGGAGGAAGGGAACACAAAGACAGGAACACACACTGATAAGATTACAAGGGAACCCATAAGCTGTCTGTTTTAAGAACAAAACAGGGAAGGAGTTTGATAGGCAACTAGGGACATTGTGAGGGCACGGTAAAGAACTGTGTGTGTGAGAGTGAGAGTGAGGGATGTGACCTGAGGTTCTGTGAGATTTACAGCAGAGTCACTGAGGGTGGAGGGAGAGGGAAGGAGGGGAAGAGTAGCTCACCTCGCTGTGGCCATCTGGTGGAGAAGACTGGGTGCTGCAGGAGTCAAGTGACTGCTCTTGGAGCCCACAAAACCACTGTCAGTCTCTGGTGAGATAATCCCATCCTATTCCACACAGAAGGTTTGAGAGACAAGTTACTTACTAGCTCTGATTTTGCTGATAGGTACTTTATTGAGGAAAAATGTTCTTATTATGACTGTGATATGTGGTTGTCCCATCTAGCTATCTTAAGATGAATGCACTAACTGTAAGTAGCGCTGCAGTGTCTGTTAAATTACTAAAATGTAAAAATTCAAATATTTATTTGTTGGTTGGACATGTTTTGGAAACAAGTTAGATGCAATTACATGGTGTTTTCAGTCATGACTATGTCTTTCACAGCAGACACCAGATAGGTGAATAACCAGGAAAAAATGTAATGGAAGCTTGATACAGTCTCTGAAGTAATTTACCTGAGATGACACTCTCCTGGTCCCAGGCTGCAGTTTGGAGCCCCTCCTCTCCGACGCAGCACTGTCCCCCAGACTGGTCAGACTGCTGCCACGAGACTTCCTGACCTCTGACCTCTTGCTGTCATTGGCCGGTGAACCATGAAATGCAGGGGATTGGCTGAGGTCCTTTGGGGAAGGAGGAACTGATTTGCTGGTCCTTGGTCTCGCCATTGGAATGAATGTAGCGTCCTGCTGACCTAGCATTGGCTGTCTGAAAACACATTATAGAATTTAGAGTATTAAAAAAAATATACAATTAAGGAGCTGGGTAAGAATTTATGATCAGCATTTAGAGGCATTGTTGTCCTGGGTCGTATTCATTAGTGCACAGTCTACACACCGTAGCAAAACATTTTGCAACGGAAAATGACAACAAGGGCTTCTTATTGGACAAGTTCAGGTAGTAACTCCCTGTTTCAGCCCATTTGCTTCCGTTTGTTACCGTTTGGTTCCTGGTGAATACGACCCTGGTGCAGTGAGTTTAGCCTCACCTCTGAGGGAGACTTGTGTGGCCCTCCTCCCTCCCTGTCCCTGGGTGTGGTCCCTCTCTTGTCCCCCCACCACCTGAATGTGTGGCTTCTTCTCCTGCATCAGGAGAGTCTTGGTCTTCCTCTGTCAGATTCAGGTCTAGCAGTCTGGGCAGCTCCCTGAAACTCTGGTAGCTGGAAGAGACAGAGAGCCTTTGGATGTGGTATTTATAAGCAAACTGATATTGACATTACTACTACATTGTTCAATTGGCTGCTTTTGAATACTTCTGTTCTACATATACAGACTAGACTTATTTAAAAGGATAGTTCACCCAAATTACATATTTCCTTACTCTGTAAGTGGTCTATGGACAAGGTAAGACAGCAATCCATGCTTTGGTTTTGTTTACCTGGCCACTGTCTCCAAATGCACATTTCTTAAAATGTTTGTCCAAAAACCAATGCAAGTCTATATCCCTCCTCTATATCCCTCATGTCCAAATCCCAAAGTGTCTAAAATTGATGGAGACTTACTGGTTCATCAGCATGCTGAAGTCTCTCTCTACACGTTTGTGTTTGTGACCTAAAGGACGGAGGAGAAGGGACGGCAATACTTCCTCCTCTCCCAATCCTCCCTCCTCTCCCTCGCTCTCTCCGCTAGCCGAGCTAACCTCCACCTTCATCACCTCCCCAGACTCCCCAGGCAGAGGTAACACTGGGCTCTGGAGAGAGAGAGATAGTGAAAGAAAGAGAGAGATAGTGAGAGAGAGAAAAAGAAAGAAAGAGCAAGCAAGAGAGAGGTTAACACTCTTCGAAATGCAGACCTCCATTCTGTGAGATAGTATAGTATAGAATAGTGAATAATCTAATGTAGTTTCTTCAGTAGCTGTGTTGTCATGGTACCTCAGGGAGTGGCATGGGCTCGCTGCTCCCTGCTGGCATGGAGTAAGGGGTGGGGTGAGGCCGTGGAGTGGGAGGGGCCTCTGAGGTGGGTAGGTCCTGTTCAGTCTGCTCCACCTTCTCCTTGAGCTCCTCCACACGCATCCCACACTGGAATATACGGCCCTCCAACTCCCTATCACACACACACACACACACACACACACACACACACACACACACACACACACACACACACACACACACACACACACACACACACACACACACACACACACACACACACACACACACACACACACACACACACACACACACACACACAGAGAGACAAAACATACACACAACACACACTTGAATTTTTTCTCATGCCCACCATATCAAACAGTTTACACAGCATGTTCTAATAAACACTTTCTATAACAGTTTAAACACATTATTGTAGATAATCCTGCAGTGTGGTCTCACCTGCCCAGGTCAAAGGGGCCCAGCTCAGCCCCTCTCTGCAGTAGGACTCTGTGTTCATCTCGTGCTGCTAGATAACCTCTTTCCAGAGAATCCTGCCCCTGGAGAAGCTGGGACAAACCCTGCGGGGACACATCATCGCATCATTACTAATACAAAATACAAAATGGTGGCTAGTTAGCATTGGGAGATGCTCCTCTATTTCCAAGACTCATGGTGGATAAATATCAGAACAATACCTTCATCTGCTCAAACGGTTTGAGTTTCCCTCTCCTCAGGTGCTCTTCAAATGTCTGCACCTGGTAGAGGAACCTGTCAGCCTGCTTTGAGAGAGCCCTGGTCAGCCTCTCTCCATCTCCAGGGCCCAGGCTTCTGGAGGAAGAGGAGGCCGCTGAGGAGGGACAGACAGGGGAGACTCCACCAGGTCCTGTAGTGTGGAGAGAAAATAGGTTTGCACTAAAGGACAATTGAAATGTGTGAAGAATTGTTGAATGATTTATTTATTAGGATCTCCATTAGCTGTTGCTCATGCAGCAGCTACTCTTCATGGGGTCCACACATGAGAGGCATAATCAACTGTCAATGGAGTGTAAGAACATATTTAAACAAAGCAATGGTTGTGTCACCAATGTTAGCCTATTACCCATTGGGCTCTGTTCAAAAGTAGTACACTATAAAGGGATTAGGGTGCTATTTGGGATGCAGTAAATCATTCAAAGATGGCTGTAAGTACCTTGGTGGGCAGCCTGTCCATTCAGGTGAATGGAGCCTGAGCTGAGCTCTGCCCTCTGAGCTTGGGGAAAGGTTAAGGTCATGACTTTTGAACCTTTATGGAGCACACCTGATTGGACAGCGTGACTGGGATTGGGAGGGTCAGAGTAGAGGCCCACCTGGAGAGAGAGACAACACCACAGAGAGAAACAGGTGTCAACTCGATGAGATTTATGTCACCTAAACATAAATTAGGTAAACGATAGCCTAAATTAGTTTGAGTCATAAACTGTAGGGACAGAGGCAGTTATTTAAATACCAGTGTTATACTAAAGACCTTGATAGTTATGCTACTTGGAGGAGATATGCTTTTCAATATAGAAAAGTCTGAAGTCTATGGGCTGGCTCTAGCCTCTGTATATCTATTTGTGTACATGTGTATCCATCACATCCTCCATTTTGTGGAGAGGTTTTATCACAACCCCTCTCAGCCTCAGTCTCAGGATGATAAAACTGTGATTGGACAGAGTGGGTGTGTTAGTGATGGCTGGCTGTGGCTGAAGCTAACTGCCCCTCCTTGATAAGCCCTTGAAACAGTAAATCACAGTGACCTCTTCTTGACCTCCCAGAGTGTCTGAGTCGCACCATCTCAACAAACACACCTGTCATGACTACCCAGTGCCCATGAACATAATGTAGAATAGGCTAACTGCCAGAAACAGCCATTTAATCATTTTCATACGTCAAAATAATTCTAAAGACAAGAACATACTCTTAATTGATCAGGGAACCATACAAGCACATATTGGGCTGTGTTTGATAAAGGATTAGGATTTAATTGTCCCTCCCTGCATATCTACACTATTATGTCTCCAGAAGGAGGAGTAGAGAGACAGATGGCTGTGTGTTTGTGTGGGTAAAGAGAGGAGTAGGAGGGATGGGGCTAAGCTGATATTAAATAGTATAAAGAGTAGAGCGTTGTACAGCTGGAGAAGGAATATGAGACAGATAGAAGGAAGGAATACTCCTTCTAGATCCACATTCGATGCCATGTGTGCGAGCCTTAGCTTCCACTTCAAATCATTGACTAGGCTATAACCAACAATAATGAGGCAAGATACTGTGAATGTCCAAGACTATGAAAACAAACGGTCACTACAATGTCCATCTGGAGAGGACTCCCCTACAGGGCTCTGACATCAATTACGTCATTTCCTGTTTTCCTTGACTGCGTCATGAGGGCAAAATCAATACATGCGATTGTTCTAATGTGAACCGCAGACTGTATCCCACACGACAGGATGGGTCTAGTTAGTGTGTGTCTAGTATTGGGGTCAGAGAGCAATTAAGACCTACCAACCCAATTGCGAAAGCTAAGTGGTGTTGTTAACCCTCTAACCAAATAGTAAACTGTAATACACAAGCAGCATTTAAAGAAGTTCTAGTAATAATGTAATAATGTAATAATGCAGTGTACTATAATTTTTATCTTATTCTATAGCTTTTTGAGCTACATGAGAAACCAACTTTCCTTGGGTTCTACAACCACTACAAACTCTGTTTGCTACTGTCTTTTTACAACTCCCTTTCCATAACATACTTTGAGAGTGTAATTCTTTTATTTGACCCACAATACCAATGTGGCTCTTCAGAGGTGTTGAGAATAGTCCAACAACAACAGAGGCTGGTGTTTTTCTTCAGAAGATAGTGTATTGTACATGCAGGGCGCCCTCTGAAACAAGTTTTGTCCCAAATGGCATCCTATATCCTTAGTGCACTACTTTTGACCAGAGCCCTAAATGGGAATAGGGTGCCATTTAGGATGCTTGAACAGGCTATAATCATACAGTCCACTGGAGTGGCTCTCCCCATCTGCTTTGTGTTGTCTTTCATGTGGCCTGCATTCAGATGCAGAGCAGAGAGAAAAATATTTGGCATGGGCCCTCAGATCCTCAAAAAGTTATACAGCTGCACCATTGAGAGCATTTTTACTGGCTGCATCACCGCTTGGTATGGCAACTGCTTGGCATCCAACCACAAGGCGCTACAGAGGGTCGTGCGTATGGCCCAGTACATCACCCTTTTTGCACAAACATTTTTATTACTCATCACATAAACTGCTGCTACTGTTTATTATCTATTCTGTTGCCTAGTCACTTTATTCCTAGTTATATGTACATATCACCTCAATTACCTCGTACCCCTGCACATCAACTCGGTACTGGTACTCCGTGTATATAGCCAATTTATCATTATTCATGGCGTATTTATTATTACTTTTATTAATACGTGTTTTACTTTTGTATTATCTCTCTATTTTCTTTCTCTGTGCATTGTTGGGAAGGACCTGTAAGTAAGCATTTCACTGTTAGTCTACACCAGTAGTTTACGAAGCATGTGACAAATAACATTTGATTTAATTTGAGGACTAAATATAACCCCTCTGTCTGCCAGACACAACATCCACCACAGAGGAGATGGAGGGAGTGTTCAGTGAATGGAGATTTTGATCTCAAGCTTAGCATTGGTCAGGGGCTGTATGTATCAAGCGTATAGGTTATAGGTTAAGAACTTTTGTGAAAGAGCACAGTTTGAAAGATATGGCATATAGAAGCAAACCGGATGGACATCATGAAAATGATCGGAGAGGTTGAGGGTAGAGGAAGTTCAGGAGTAAAAACAAACAAAACATAATTATTTTAAAATTGACTGTGTCCATAAAATGTATATAGTATGTACAAGCTGGAAGTAGAGGCCTAAGCGTTGTTGTTCACTAGTTTACTCCAATTAGGGGAAGGGTGGTGGGGTTGGAAAGTAATAAAGGAAAACATGTATTTTTAAAGGATATGTATATATATGTATGTGTATATGTATGTATTTATATGTGTATGTATGTATGTATGTACAGTGCCTTGCAAAAGTATTAATCCCTCTTGGCGTTTTTCCTATTTTGTTGATTTACAACCTGTAATTTAAATTGATTTTTATTTGGATTTCATGTAATGGACATACACAAAATAGTCCAAATTGGTGAAGTGAAATTAAAAAAATAACTTGATTCAAAAAATTCTAAAAAGTCACATAATTAGTTAAATAAAGTCCACCTGTGTGTCACATGATCTGTCACATGATCTCAGTATATATACACCTGTTCTGAAAGGCCCCAGAGTCTGCAACACCACTAAGCAAGGGGCATTACCAAGCAAGCGGCACCATGAAGTCCAAGGAGCTCTCCAAACAGGTCAGGAACAAAGTTGTGGAGAAGTACAGATCAGGGTTGGGTTCTAAAAAATATCCGAAACTTTGAACACCCCACGGAGCACCATTAAATCCATTATAAAAAAATTGAAAGAATATGGCACCACAACAAACCTGCCAAGGGAGGGCCGCCCACCAAAACTCATGGACCAGGCAAGGAGGGCATTAATCAGAAAGGCAACAAAGAGACCAAAGATAACATTTTACATTTTTTTTTGTCATTTAGCAGACGCTCTTATCCAGAGCGACTTACAGTTAGTGAATGCATACGTTTTTTTTTATTTTTTATACTGGCCCCCCGTGGGAAACGAACCCACATCCCTGCCGGCCAAACCCTCCCCTACCTTGGACGACGCTGGACCAATTGTGCGCCACCCATGGGTCTCCCGGTTGCGGCCGGCTGCGAAAGAGCATGGACTAGAACCAGGATCTCTAGTGGCACAGCTAGCACTGCGATGCAGTGCCTTAGACCACTGCGCCACTCGGGGGAGATAACCCTGAAGGAGCTGCAAAGCTCCACAGCGGAGATTGGAGTATCTGTCCATAGGATCACTTTAAGCCATACACTCCACAGAGCTGGGCTTTACGGAAGAGTGGCCAGAAAAAAGCCATTGCTTAAAGAAAAAAATAAGCAAACACGTTTGGTGTTCACCAAAAGCCTTGTGGGATACTCCCCAAACATATAGAAGAAGGTACTCTGGTCAGATGAGACTAAAATTGAGCAATTTGGCCATCAAGGAAAACGCTATGTCTGGTGCAAACACAACACCTCTCATCACCCGAGAACACCATCCCCACAGTGAAGCATGGTGGTGGCAGCATCATTCTGTGGGGATGTTTTTCATCGGCAGGGACTGGGAAACTGGTCAGAATTGAAAGAATGATGGATGGCGCTAAATACTGGGAAATTCTTGAGGGAGACCTGTTTCAGTCTTCCAGAGATTTGAGAATGGGACGGAGGTTCACCTTCCAGCAGGACAATGACCCTAAGCATACTGCTAAAGCAAAACTCAAGTGGTTTAAGGAGAAACATTTAAATGTCTTGGAATGGCCTAGTCAAAGCCCAGACCTCAATCCAATTGAGAATCTGTGGTATGACTTACAGATTGCTGTACACCAGCGGAACCCATCCAACTTGAAGGAGCTGGAGCAGTTTTGCCTTGAAGAATGGGCAAAAATCCCAGTGGCTAGATGTGCCAAGATTATAGAGACATACCCCAAGAGACTTGCAGCTGTAATTGCTGCAAAAGGTGGCTCTACAAAGTATTGACTTTGGGGGGGTTATGCACGCTCAAGTTTTCTGTTTTTTTGTCTTATTTCTTGTTGTTTGTTTCACATCTTCAAAGTGGTAGGCATGTTGTGTAAATCAAATGATACAACCCCCCCCAAAATCCATTTTAATTCCAGGTTGTTAGGCAACAAAATAGGGAAAATGCCAAGGGGGTGAATACTTTCGCAAGTCGGAAGTTTACATACAAGTCGGAAGTCGGAAGTTTACATACACCTTAGCCAAATACATTTAAACTCAGTTTTTCACAATTCCTGACATTTAATCCTAGTAAAAATTCCCTGTTTTAGGATCACCACTTTATTTTAAGAATGTGAAATGTCAGAATAATAGTAGAGAGAATTATTTATTTCAGCTTTTAGTACTTTCATTACATTCCCAGTGGGTCAGAAGTTTACATACACTCAATTAGTATTTGGTAGCATTGCTTTTAAATTGTTTAACTTGGGTCAAACGTTTCAGGTAGCCTTCCACAAGCTTCCCACAATAAGTTGGGTGAATTTTGGCCCATTCCTCCTGACAGAGCTGGTGTAACGGAGTCAGGTTTGTAGGCCTCCTTGCTCGCACACGCTTTTTCAGTTCTGCCCACAAATGTTCTATAGGATTGAGGTCAGGGCTTTGTGATGGCCACTCCAATACCTTGACTTTGTTGTCCTTAAGCCATTTTGCCACAACTTTGGAAGTATGCTTGGGGTCATTGTCCATTTGGAAGACCCATTTGCGACCAAGCTTTAACTTCCTGACTGAGGTCTTGAGATGTTGCTTCAATATATCCACATAATTTTCCTTACTCATGATGCCATCTATTTTGTGAAGTGCACCAGTCCCTCCTGCAGCAAAGCACCCCCACAGCATGATGCTGCCACCCCCGTGCTTCATGGATGGAATGGTGTTCTTCGGCTTGCAAGCAACCCCCTTTTTCCTCCAAACATAACGATGGTCATTATGGCCAAACAGTTCTATTTTTGTTTCATCAGACCAGAGGACATTTCTCAAAAAAGTACGATCTTTGTCCCCATGTGCAGTTGAAAACCGTAGTCTGGCTTTTTAATGGCGGTTTTGGAGCAGTGGCTTCTTCCTTGCTGAGCGGCCTTTCAGGTTATGTCGATATAGGACTCGTTTTACTGTAGATACTTTTGTACCTGTTTCCTCCAGCATCTTCACAAGGTCCTTTGCTGTTGTTCTGGGATTGATTTGCACTTTTCGCACCAAAGTACGTTCATCTCTAGGAGACAGAACGCATCTCTTTCCAGAGCGGTATGACGGCTACGTGGTCCCATGGTGTTTATACTTGCGTACTATTGTTTGTACAGATGAACGTGGTACCTTCAGGCATTTGGAAATTGCTCCCAAGGAAGAACCAGACTTGTGGAGGTCTACAATTTTTTTTCTGAGGTCTTGGCTGATTTATTTTGATTTTCCCATGATGTCAAGCAAAGAGGCACTGAGTTTGAAGGTAGGCCTCCAATGGACTCAAATGATGTAAATTAGCCTATCAGAAGCTTCTAAAGCCATGATATCATTTTCTGGAATTTTCCAAGCTGTTTAAAGGCAGAGACAACTTAGTGTATGTAAACTTCTGACCCACTGGAATTGTGATACAGTGAATTATAAGTGAAATAATCTGTCTGTAAACAATTGTTGGAAAGTTACTTGTGTCATGCATATATATATATATTTGCGCAAAAAATATATGGGGTATTGGAAGTGATGCAGACAATTACATTGTCTGCATCACTTCCAATACCCCATATACACACACACACACACACACACACACACACTTATGTAGACTACCTTGGCTTCCAGACGCATCTGATCAATAGTGTTCTCTGCCTCAGCATACTTGGTTAGCAGCCTGCTGTAGTCCTCCTAGAGAAAATAGGGGTAAGGAAAGAGAGAGGGGGAGGGAGGGAGAGAGGAGAAAAGTCAAGGCTGTGAGCTGGATAGGAAGTAGAGAAGCACTACTCAGAGCTAGTCAATTGGAGCATCATTCAGTGAATTGGTGTCAGTGTGTGGGAGACTTGGAAAGTTGTTTAGCCTTTGAGTCTGAGTATGTCAGAATACTAAGGAATCAGAGTTAGTCTGAGTATGTCAGAATGCTAAGGAATCAGAGTTAGTCTAAGTATGTCAGAATGCTAAGGAATCAGAGTTAGTCTGAGTATGTCAGAATGCTAAGGAATCAGAGTCTGAGTATGTCAGAATGCTAAGGAATCAGAGTTAGTCTGAGTATGTCAAAATGCTAAGGAATCAGAGTTAGTCTAAGTATGTCAGAATGCTAAGGAATCAGAGTTAGTCTGAGTATGTCAGGATGCTAAGGAATCAGAGTTAGTCTATATGTCAGAATGCTAAGGAATCAGAGTTAGTCTGAGTATGTCAGGATGCTAAGGAATCAGAGTTAGTCTGTATGTCAGAATGCTAAGGAATCAGAGTTAGTCTGAGTATGTCAAGATGCTATGGAATCAGAGTTAGTCTGAGTATGTCAGAATGCTAAGGAATCAGAGTTAGTCTGAGTATGTCAAAATGCTAAGGAATCAGAGTTAGTCTGAGTATGTCAGGATGCTAAGGAATCAGAGTTAGTCTCAGTCCCTACACCCAAACGAGGGCATTGCGTTCATCCACCTCTGGCTTGCTGGCCCCCCTACCTCTGCGGAAGCACAGTTCCCGCTCAGCCCAGTCAAAACTGTTCGCTGCTCTGGCACCCCAATGGTGGAACAAGCTCCCTCACGACGCCAGGACGGCGGAGTCACTCACCACCTTCTGGAGACACTTGAAACCCCACCTCTTTAAGGAATACCTGGGATAGGATAAAGTAATCCTTCTACCCCCCCCCCCCCCCCCCCCCCCCCAAAAAATAAATAAAAATAAACATATTGTAAAGTGGTTATCCCACTGGCTATAAGGTGAATGCACCAATTTGTAAGTCGCTCTGGATAAGAGCGTCTGCTAAATGACGTAAATGTAGATGTAAATGTATGTCAGAATGCTAAGGAATCAGAGTTAGTCTGAGTATGTCAGGATGCTAAGGAATCAGAGTTAGTCTGTATGTCAGGATGCTAAGGAATCAGAGTTAGTCTGAGTATGTCAGGATGCTAAGGAATCAGAGTTAGTCTGAGTATGTCAGGATGCTAAGGAATCAGAGTTAGTCTGTATGTCAGAATGCTAAGGAATCAGAGTTAGTCTGTATGTCAGAATGCTAAGGAATCAGAGTTAGTCTGAGTATGTCAGGATGCTAAGGAATCATAGAGTCTGAGTATGTCAGAATGCTAAGGAATCAGAGTTAGTCTGAGTATGTATGTCAGAATGCTAAGGAATCAGAGTTAGTCTGAGTATGTATGTCAGAATGCTAAGGAATCAGAGTTAGTCTGAGTATGTATGTCAGAATGCTAAGGAATCAGAGTTAGTCTGAGCGTGTGCCTGCGGTGTAGTCCTACTCTCTGTGTATGTACCTGCAGCTGCTGTACCAGAGTGCTGGCCTGTTGTGGGCATCTGAAGTCCTCTGGCACCGTGGAGTTTAGGGGCCTGTGGGGCCCGTTGGGGGGCGAGGGGGGAGGGGGTCCGTCTGTACTGCTCAGCAGCACCTCTCTCACTATGTCAGCAGGAGACTTGAACACCAGGGGGGGCTCCACTGACAGAGACCTCTTTCTGGGGGAGCCTTTGCTCTTGGGGGGTGTGTAGCCGCTCTTGGGGAAGCGAACCCTGGGCTCTACCTTGGAGAAGTCTGGAGTGGGGTAGGTCAGTGGCCCTCTCCGACCCTCGTCCATGTCAGGGTCATGGCTCCTAGGTTGGGGTTTGGGGGGACTCTCCCTGTGGGTCCGGAGGCTCCTGTCCTGGGTGCTGCTGTGAGAAGGGAACTGTGAGGGTGCATGCCAACCTTTCTGAGGGGAATGAGCCATGGCTCGTGGAGTGTCAGGTGAGCGCTGTTTCATCTTCCTTGGAGAGCGAGAGGCGTGTTGCCGATGGTTAACGCCTGACTCATCTTGTAGGCTCTCTTCACCCCCCTCGTTTCTCTCTCTGAGTCGGTAAGATATCCCATGCTCAGGAAAGATGGCTGCTGGGTAAGGAAAGGTCCTAGGCTTGAGATCCTCCCCCCCTGACTCAGGCTGCCAATGAGGCCTGGGGGCGTGGCTCATCCGGCTGCTGCGGGATTCCGGAAGGCTCTCTGTAAAGGTGGGTTCCTCCAGGAACGTCTCGGCTTCAACCCCGGGAGCATCAGCCAACTCCTCGGAGGAGAAGTGGAGGAGGTGAGGAATGGTACAACCTCTGGGAGGGGAGGAAGGATACTTGGGGGATGGACTGAGCAGGTCAGGAGGGAAAAGGGAGGAGAGGTTTCCAGACACACTCTCTACCAACCGTGTCCCCCCTCTGTTGTCACTCTCTGAGAATTCACTAGTCTCTTCTATTTGTAGGTCGGCGCTGTAACTTCTTATGGCACTTACCTTTCTCTCTTCTCCTCTGACACTATGGCCCTGATCCCAGCAAGACCCAGCCCCAGCTATGACAGGACATGACATCATGTCAGTGTGTGCATGGGGCTCGCTGTCCTCCTCCTCCTCCTCCTCCTCCTCCTCCTCCTCCTCCTCCTCCTCTACCTTCCTTTCATCCTCTGTCATGTCCAGCTGTCTGTCTCTCTCTGGGAGATGCTCCATCCGCTGCCTGTGGACCACCCAGCTCTGCTCCTCTTCATCCTTCTGCTGCTGCTCCTCATCCTCACTCCAGATCTCCACACTGTCCTTGGCCTCCAGGACATCTAGCAGAGAAAGAGAAGGGCATGGGAGAAAGAGTCACTTCAGATTTGTCTTTATACACTCACCTAGGTCAAATATCAAGATAAATGTAGCAGTTTTCCCTTGCAATTGTCACCCTTGCTTGCAGATCTTAGGGGACTTAGGCCTGAGGCTTTGATGCTTTTGGCTTTGTTGAAATGTGTTATTATTTGACTACAGAAGTGATGACAATGTTTCTAGTGTTTGTTAGTATGTGTGACTCACTGAGTGACAGGGTGTGAGTGTCTTCTCCAGGTGGCTCAGACTGGGACAGAGGCTCTGAGTCCTGCAGCTCACTCAGGTTATAACTCAGCTCCTCCAGAGGGTCTACCTGTTCCAACCCCTGGTCCAGCCCCATCCCACCTGCCCTACTGGGGGACAGGAACCCCTCCCTGGGTCCCTCTTGGTCCAAAGCTCCAGAGTACCAGGGTGGATCATCCTCTCCACGCTCCACTCCCTCCTCCTCTCCACCCTCCTCTCCCTCCTCCTCCTCTTCTCCCAGACCCACATTCTCCAAGGCCTTGTCCAGTCCTATGATCCCGTTCTCATCCATCTGGCTGTGGAAGTCCTCTTCTTCCTCCTCTTTCCTGTCCCCACCTTCCTCCTCATCCTCATCCCCCCAGTCCGCATCTGTGCCTATGGAGCTGGAGGGAGAAGGGTGTTGAGGAGCAGGGGTCCAGAACAGAAACCCTGCCCTGGTGCTGCGCCCTCTGGTCTCCATCCTCTCTCTCTGGTTCTCTCTCTCAGGTCTGACCTCTGACCTCTAACTAGGTGTGGTGACATCCAGCATCCTGATTGGCTGCTCTGGTGCTCCTCTGAAGCCCACCTCCCACAGCCATGGCTCAGAATCTAGCCTACTGGACCTGGCTGTAGGTCTATGTCATTCTTATGGAAAGCTTTGTCATGGGGGCACTGGATACCCTGAAACCAAATGCAGTAACATTACAGGATTAGTGAGAAAAGCCTAACTCACTTTGCCCAGTTTTTGGTACAACAAATTTCAAATGCAATCACACACATATTCACAGGTTGCATTACAAATGGAGCCCTTTCCCCTACATTGGGCACTACTTTTGACCAAGGACCTTAGGGAATAGGGTGCCATTTGCGTACGCACCAACATCTGGGGAAAGTCGAATGCAGCACTATACAACCGCATCCCTACTTCTCTGAGGACAGATGTGACTTCACCACACTGAAAACTGCAGGCCATCTTTAAGGCAGTCATTCAATCATTTGATGCAGAACACAGAACACAGAGCTAATTAACTGTGATTAAAGAGCAAGGAAATGAACAGTCTGTCTTCATCCTCATACACAGCTGCTCCCTATTGTTAACATGGAAGCATCTTAATAAACAGATAATCATTTGTCACTCCTTCAGTATGGACTATCTTTCATTTTCATAATGTTTATGTAGAAGGCATTTTTCTCTCTCTGTCTCTTTCAAAAAAATATTTTTGGTAATTTTTGCTTTATTCAGAGATAGACTATAATATGGGGAGACATTAGAGAGAGACAAAGGGTGGCGACAGGGATCGAACCCCGGTCTCGGGACTTTGTACATGTGTCTAGACCACCAGACCAGACCATGTGGCCTGCACAAAAGAAGGGCTTTCATACAGGAGAGGGGAAGAGGGATATTCATTCCTAAAGGTACTCTTAGAAGAAATAAACATCCATGTTTCAGTTTCAGTTAAACTATGCATATTATGAAGATCAATTGGCTTATCAAATTTAATTGCTCATTTTTGAGAGATTGCATATAGCTATTTAGGCTAACAATGGGAACACATCTGGGGTTCATATCAAGATCAAACTATTTTTTGATGTCATGGAGCCTTTGACTGTCACCATAGCAACCGACAACACCAAACCCTGCCTTACTGAGCTCGGAGAACAACAGGCCTCAATGCTGCACTTCTTACCTTCAGCCAATCAGCATTCACAGCATTGACTCATGGACAAGAAAAGCATGGAGAGAAGACAAATGAGAGAAGTTTCTGGGGGTTTGAGTGGGAAGCAGCTATAGCCTCATCTGTATGAGTGACACGTACCTCCTCACCATACTGCGGTGCACTGTCATGCACTTCAAAATACCTCACACAAGCACACAGACATTCTACCTGTAAATATGTTGTAGGATGGAACACAAAAATCAGAATAACAAATCAATTTTGGAAGACACAAAGACCCAGAAAGTGAAGCAGCAAGCTTAGACCTACTCGTTACAGAAAGTGGCCATTGTGCATCTTGGTCCTCATCAATATCCGAGATTACCAAAAGCAGATTATAAAGGGAGTGCTGCTTCTAATCTGACACACAAACGCAACGCATCTTTGTTGAGGAGTGAACAAAAAACAGGGCCCACTCTCTAAATTTGAAGTGTTTGAAGAGTATATTGTTACAAACAATATGTCTAAAAATAGGCAACATCCAAAAGTGTAGTTTTGAGATATGAATGTGAAAATGTGTATTTCAGAAGACATACTCCATATTTCAGAGAACACTATAATAGGGTCTTACAAGAGGCATGTATAGGTCTAAAAAGGGCCTAAAATGGACAATTTCATCATGATGTACAAAAAATACAAATGTAAAAAGCATGTTAAACATCCTTCCTCTCAATTAAGTTCCTATGTGAGATTTGCCAGAACAATCTGAGATGCCAGCAGGCTCATATAGCCACTCTGTCCTACTTTCATACGCAAATGTATGGAGAATCTCTCTCCATAGAGGAGAAGAGGTGGCTGGGCTGACAGACCTTGCATCTAAACTGAGACAACTGGGAAAACACAAGCACTTCAGGCAGATAAACAACTTCAGGGCATTTTTCATTGCTAATTTCAGATCCGGGACATAGTTTATCAGTGAATATCAGACTTATTTTGATGTAGCCTAGATAGGATGCATAGAAAATAAACAATTTAGGCCGTCATAATCTTAAGTAGGCCTATAAATTGAAACCGTAAGATCATATCTTTGCTACATTGATTAGGCTAGTATGCACATCTTCACTCGTCAATACAGCAATATAGCCATTCTGTTGATTGTAAAGCATAAAGAATGTGGACTCACCTGTTGCTTAAATCCAAGCGGCGTGTCCATACAGCCCTGAGGTACTCCAAGGTTTTGTTATGTGGTCAGGCTGGGGTATTAAACCCTGCGGGGCTCAAATACTGCTCACAGACAGACAAACAGACAGACAGGGCTGATCTGTTGAGCACACCCAGTAGTACATCTCCACAGGAGCCCCACAGAGCCACACTGACATCTAGGCTAATCCTTGGGGTGCCAGGGGAGCTGTCTCTCTCTGAGACTGGGATGACGGGAGCTGCCAGGCTAGGCTAATTAACGCCCCTGCTAGCTAGGTTCTCCTCCGACAGACTCCCAGCCCTCCCTCCCAAAGCTGTCAGGACAGACATCAATGGAGCCAAAAGCAAAATGTTTCAGTTTTGTTAGGCTGAGGACCAGAGCATTTTGATGATTCTATGAATCAAGTTGAAGCCTCAGGATCTCACCCAAGCTGAGAGAGAGCCCAGTCCAGTGAAGGTTGGCTAAAATGGCCTGCTAACTAACTAAGCAACGTAGGCTAATCTTCTTACGTGGCGAGAGGGAGAGATAAGGATGTGCTGACAGACACAGAGCAGAGTCTGTTAGGTGCTCACGCTAGGAGAATAACAAACAGGCCTGGGCCTAGTGCTGTGAATAATGCTTAAAGTTCAAACTTAGCAAAACCAAAGTTAGGGGACCACGGTAGCTTAGGTGACTAAGACCAGGTCAACTTGTTGCAAAATTTCCAAGTCTCCAAACTGCCTACCCACAAGACTTTCCATCCTGACAACATGCTATAGCAGTTAGTCAAGTTTGATCAACGTCTAGTGAGTGGAGGACAACAGTCCCACTAATGCAGTGAAATTATGAGAGAAATGACAGGGTACCAGTGGTTCCTTGAGTCCACTGGGTTAAAGCACACAGAGGCAGCCCAAGAGAGCCCATCAGACTTGTCAATTGTTCATACTTGTGTAGTAACATTGTAATATGACTATGTAACAACATTTGAGTAACACATAGCTACTATTAATGTTACAGTATGATATTTTTACATAATAATTTAGGAATAGCTTTGTATAGCACAATGGAGTTGGGAGGTTTTATCACACACACACACACACACACACACACACACACACACACACACACAAGAACACTACAGATTCTAAATTTACCTTGTGCTTCTTAGGTTATATCATCCAAGGCAGTTGAAGCAGGAATTCAGAGAGACAGCGAGAATGCAGCATCCGCAGACTTCAAAGTAGCAGGCCTTGGTTGCCTTGAGAACTGCATACAAACTAAAAAAAAGACCCACCCCAATGTCACCAAGCGACCATGCGATGCATGGCAAAACACGACTTCACTCAATGCCACCCACTTTACCCGAGTAAACAAAAAATATATATATATTATTTATCGGGCTTGAACACACTCTCCAATGTGTTGAAGTCGCTTATCATTGTCCCGGAAAATCTGTATTCGAATTCCCATCACTTTCTATTTTAAATGTATAGTCATAATTTAGTAAAAGTTGATTATGGCTAATTCATGGTTAACGCAAATTAACTGGGTTGTAATACTTGATCGTGGACAATAATCTAAATCCAGCAGGAAAAGGTGAAAGAGTATCGTTGGATAATTATTCCATTCTCGGAGCATGGCACAGATTTTCGAAGCGTAAAAGTTATCAAGAAACCAAACATTAGAGCGAAGTACCGATTAGTTCGTTTGGGGGCAGGACTTCCGACTGATGTTTCCAAAAAGAAAATGTACATGGATATAAAAATCTACAGTAAATGCATATGAAAATGTAGACACAATAATATAAGCGCTCCTCCAGTGTGTCAGAGATCAAATGCTTCTCTCTATAGCCTCCCGGATAGATATAATCATTATATTATAATAATGATTAGAATTATGTATCAATTATCAGAATTATGTATCAAGACCAGTGATGTGCATGGGTTAATACATATCATTAATTGATTAAGACTCAACTGATAAAGGGGAGATAAAACAGTTTAGTATCACTTTCATCCACATGAGGACGGCATTTTCTTAAATTTCAGCTCGATTTCAATACCATGTATTATTGTTCCTCAAGAAAGCGCCGTTAGATGATTTACATCAGAACCTTTATGTGTCTGTTGTGGGTCTGATTCTACATATAATGTATCAGCAATTATTTTCCACATGAATGAAAAAACCCATTATTCCCACCCATTATGTATATTAGGAAAGTTTGACTCCAAAAGCTGTACAGTCGCGTCTCAGAGTGCAGATCTAGGATCACGACCCGTATTCATAAAGCGTCTCAGAGTAGGAGTGCTCATCAAGGATCAGGGCGTGGGCCCGTATTCTTAAAGCATACAGTGCCTTGCAAAAGTATTCATCCCCCTTGGCATTTTTCTTATTTTGTTGCATTACAACCTGTAATTTAAATGGATTTTTATTTGGATTTCATGTAATGGACATACACAAAATAGTCCAAATTGGTGAAGTGAAATGAAAAAAATAACTTGTTTCAGAAAATTCAAAAAAATATATAACGGAAAAGTGGTGTGTGCATATGTTTTCACACCCTTTGCTATGAAGCCCCTAAATAAGATCTGGTGCAACCAATTACCTTCAGAAGTCACAGAATTAGTTAAATAAAGTCCACGTGTG